ACTTTTCTCCCCATTCCGCGAGCATCATCTGCCCTTCGAAACCTCCCGAAGCCCTCCTTTTAAAGAACCCCATGCAATTTAAGAATACCGATACATCAGTATATGACTTCAAAGTTACACAGCGCAAGGTTACAGAGGGTTAATTATATGACTCCTGCGCGCGACGCCGGCGCTTCCGTTAATTAATTCGCGTCCGTCTGCGCCCGCACCTGTCTCTCTCTCTCTCTCTCTCTCTCTCTCTCTCTCGTCCCTGTTTTCCTCACGGCTGTATAATTAATTAACGTAACCGTGTAGGCTTACTAGGAAGAAACCGAGGTAGAGCATTACTGATTACAGTCGTGTTCTATACACCGGGTGGACACGCGTGTCCTCCTCTTCCTCTTGCCGATAGCCGACACGCCGCGCGGAGCGTGACGGACTAAATAAACGACACCGCGAGTAATCCTTTCTTATCGTAAGCTCCTTATCCCGGTAAGTCATCGCGAATGAAGTAAGATACATCAATTTATCTGCGTAATCCCCGTACATGTTTACGCGCGATCATCGTCGCTATTAACGGCATTATCGGGCCACGGGATTACGGTGGAATTAAGTCCGTCTCCTACTCACCATATCAGGCGATACCCGAGGAGGCGAGTCCCGCGACCTGGAGGCCGTCGCGCTGCAGGCAGCAGCAGGCTCTTCCGCAATCCGCGCGATCAGTCCGTTGCGTTTATGTCACGCGGACGACGGCTGCGTCCGTCCGAAGAGCTCGCGGAAACGCATCGCGCGCGCTGGAATCCGCGGACGACCGAGATGACGAGTTCGAGAAGACTGCCTTGGATTCGCGCCGGGATCGCTGATGTAGCCCGACGCGACTGGGGAACTCGAAGAGTGGGGCTCCTGCCGCGTCCGACGTACAGTTACTCGGCGGAGCGCCGCTTTGGACTTTCATCGGTGTGCCCTGCTGCGTCTGCCGCGGCCAAGCACACCCGGAGCGGGTCCTAACATCGTTGGAGAACGTTTCTTTCCAGCGGTTTCCTTCCAGCTAAGGTTGCCGAATTTGCAAGTTAGCAAAGGGGACCGGAAATTTTGATGAATGAAAAGAAACAGGGTGGGAGTGCGTCTGTCATGGCAGCGCATCTGACAAGTAAAAGAAGAAATACCTTCGATGCGGTGGGGAGGAACAAACAGCGTTCTTAGCAGGACATGAAAATTTCGGCTATGAAGAACAATTCTTCTTCGCGCTCGCTACGTGGCGCTGCGCTTATGTTTCCCGTAAGGAATTATGGACGCGACTTAGACCGCGCGATTGCCCGAAGGGACTTTCGAAATTCAACAGGAACGGCATGTTCTTCCATCAGCACTCGGCCTTTCTTATCACACATCACGTTGGGAAGAGATAGGCTGCTAATCGCGCATGGAGATCTTCTCTTCTTATCTTCTTACGTCTTTTCACTATGGCAGCCGTAACACCAAACTGCGTTGTTCATGTGTTTGTATATGTATGTGTTTCTATTATTTTATATACAAGGTGCTAAATTTCAGATGTAGCAGGTCCAACATCTCTAGGACTAGATGATATTGAAGTTTGTTTTCCTTTTTAGGAAATGGAGACATGTTTGTTCTAATGATTACATTAGTCACATTCAGTCTTCAGTATCAACTGACTTGCTTCAGATAGTCCTCACATCTTCTTACGCGTGTCTAGTCTATCTGTTACATATTTATCTCCTGGAGAGTGTTTACAGTTTTGGCATCGTCAACGCCAGCATCCATTCCATATCTATTTATACCAAGTTTCAGCACAGGAAGCGATGTGTGAGCAGGATAAACGCTGATTTTACTAATATCTCTGACTCCTTTTTCCCATTCTTTCACCTCTAGTCACCTCGGGTTTATACTTTATGGTCATTGAATTCGTTGTGATAACGGCTATAAATAAAGGTGATCAAAAAATTAGACTTCCATTGAAAAATATAATTTCATTTCTATTTTACTTGACGACTTCACCCAAAATTAAAATCTCTTTTTATCAAAATATGCCTGCTTCGAAACAATACAATCTAAAAAAACGGTCGATATCATTTAGTTTTCGAGATATTTGACCTGTTACGTTTGAAATTTAGCAACCTATGTGTGCGCATGTGTGTGTGTATGTAATGTATTAATATATTATATACAGGGTGTCCGGGATCTTTTGGAAAGGAAAAATTATGAAGATTACTCAGATCAAACTGAGAAGAAAAGTCAAGCACGATTTTGCAAAAATTGCAAGTGATTGAAAATGACCATATCTAGAGGCTCTTTCAATTGATAACTTTACGTACTTGTTTGAAAAATGGTAAAGGACTTTTTTGTTCAGAATGATCTAATCTACAATTATATAACGGCTTATGTGCCTAACAATAGATACGAGTATGTATTGAACTTTGAATCCTGAATCTTGAACCTGCCGCTAGGCACAACCGCCGTTGTATAATTGTAGGTTAGGTCAGTCTGAACAAAAAAGTCCTTTACTATTTTGCAAACGAGTACGCAAATTTTCAAGTTATCAATTAAAAGAGCTTCTAGATGTAGTCATGTTCAATTGTTAATAACTTAATAACTATTGCGATTTTTGCAAAATGATACTTGACTCTTCTTCTCAGTTTGTTCTGATTAATCTACACAATTCTTCCTTCTTAAAAGATTCCGGACACTCTATATGTTAATATATTATATTTGTTAGTATGATATAATACATAGTTATTTTATATTACATATATAATGTATGTGTACACACACACACACACACACACATATGCATTATACGTCTATAACGAGAATCACGCGTGCTTCGAGCCGTTTCATCCGGCAACCTCAATCTTCGTCTCCTAATACCTCGTTTTGGCGTCTTACTCGCCTCGACGAGAGGAGAAGAGAGACGGGCGGAAAGATTGTTGTCCGTGAGAGCGTGTTATCAGACGAATCCTACTTACTAGAGGTAACAATATGCTGTGTCAGCGTTCTACAAGCAGGTGTACGAAACCGCTCGCGACGTTCGCCTCGAGTGTTATATACACACATTTTTCTCTCTCTCTCTCTCTCTCTCACACACACACACGCGCGCGCGCGCGCAATTATATACCGATTAAATGTCACAGATAATTAATATCGGGCAGAGAGCGACGTTTACCCGGCGACGTTATCGATTTGTCAAAGTTCAAAGCGGAAATGTACACTGCTGCGTCTACTCGTTATGCGCGTTGATAAGTGCAAGCGTTGCCTGCATCAGCTACTCATTCAATTTAATAAACGCGCTTCCGATTGGATAGAAGTTGGTGCCTACGTAACGATCGCTAATGTTCACGTGTATGTCGCAGTTTAATACGGAAGCTGGAAGATACGCCGCCTGTTCCGCTCGTCGAAGAACATGGACGGAAAGGCTGGCCGTAATCTCTCCTGCGACTCTTCGTCTTTCAGCGTCTCGACTTTGTCCGGAGAGTTCTCCCATCAGGAAAGAAATTCGATCGGACGGGCGAAAGTTACGCGAACAATCGCGGCCTTTCCGTCCACAAGTGCGCATCAGCGACGGGCGATCTTCTGATCTTCAGAAAATCGATCTTCTCTTTCAGAAATCAATTCTTTTAATCGGTCCTTTTTTGCTGGGTTTTTCTACAAGGCGATCCTTTTCAACAGGGAATTTGTTGATATACCTATTCGTCAGTTCACCTGTTCAGTCGTTTCGTTTAACGAAGAATCGAACCGTTTGAAAGAAATAAAAATCGAACAGGAAACAATTGATTTGAAAAGTCGATGTTTTACCAAAAGATCGACGCCTGTCACCTAATCTGAGTTTTATCGGTTCCAGTTAATCTAACCGATGATTAATCAGTTCACTGGTAACGATTTATATATGAGCGAAAAAAAGAATGCTACAACTGATAATAGCTTGTATATGAGCACCAAAAATAATTCTGCCAATTTTCAACGGATTTGCATTAAACTTAATACACTCATATTTTTTTGCTTGGTGGCTATGAATCCGAAAACAAATTTGAGAAATTCATGATGGCGGATCCAATATGGCGGCACTGAAATAATATCGAGCGAATAATATAGTATTTTACATGGAATTATCTGTAAGGAATGTTTTAGGTCATTGATGACAAATCCAGAAACGAAATTTCAAAATTCAAAATGGCGGATCCAATGACACCTTCAAGTGCCTAACTTTGATATTCCGTTTAAGTACGTATCATACTCGGCATGTTTTTCTTCTTTTAGTCGCAGATAACGACTGTCATAAATCTAAATCTTTGAGTCGTTCATGACAAATCCAGGAACGAAATTTCAAAACTCAAAATGGCAGATTCAATATGACGGCTAACTTGACTTTGATATTCCATTATCGGTACATATCAAACTCGGTACATTTTTTTTACCGCAATTAATGACTGTCATAAATTCAAGGTTATTACGAGAGCCATTCACCAAAGAAGTGGTTTTCTTCAATATATTATAATTCAATATAATATTTCATTCGTTAATAATGGAGGTAAAAGTATCCATAATGGAATACCGTTAGGCACTAAACCGCCATTTTAGGTTTTGCAATTTCGATTAAATTCATCATCAGCAACCCGAAAAACATGAACATATCGAATATGATTTCCTCTATAATAGAATAACAAAATTAGTCACTTGGAGTCGCTGTTGCCATTTTGTACAACAACTATTGCCATTTTGAATCTTGAAATGTTGATCCCGGTTTCGTCACCAGCTACCCGAAAAACCTTCTATAAAAAAGATTTCATACTAAATCAAACGGGGATATCTCAATAAATATTCTTCAAAAACTAACAAAATTAGTTATTCTAACGAAATTGTCATATTCGTCGTTCGTTAGAATCGTCAAACGCGATTGGTCAATTCCGATGGAATAACCAGCCGGTTAAATTAACCGCAGTTGGTGGAAACGGCCATAAGCCTGCTCGCGACCAGACCGTTGGTCACCATTTGCGCAAAATCGAGCAGAAGAGAATCGATTATTCGAAGACCGACTGGAGATCGCCCGCGTCTACACTCGGCAGGGTTCAAAGAATGTAAAAGTACACGACGTAAGCGACGAACAGAGCGACGAGCAGAAGCTAGCCGCACACCTGGAACCAGTCCAGTCATCTCCAGATCGTGCAAGTTTTGTCCTTGCTGGCGGTGATCACGCTGTCGCCGGTGTACGAGAAGGCACAAGCGAACACTTCGTCGGTGTGCTCCCTCAGCTGTTGGAGGCAGCTGCCGTCGTCCGTGGACCAGAGTCTGGCCGTTCTGTCCGAGGAGCCGGTCAGCAGTTGGTGGCCGTTTGGACTGAAGCATACTGTGAAACACACGGCAGCCGTGATCGTTCGGGATTCTCGGGGGCAGGCACTCGGCATCCTCCGCGGGAGAAAGAGACTTGCCTTTGGAGACCTCCTGCTGATGATCCTGCATCAAGGCCAGCTGTTGGAAGTTGCCGCTTATGTCCCAGACACGCGCAGTGGTGTCGCCGCTGGCCGTCGCCAGCTTCCTGCCGTTGTTGTCGAAAGCGAGATCCAGAACTTCGTCGTCGTGGCCCAATAGAGTGGCCATGCAGGAGTTGGTCCTAGTGTCCCACACCTTGGCGCTCTGGTCTATCGAGGACGTCGCGATCAGCGAGCAGTCGAAATTGTACAGGCAGTTGGACAATTCCGCGCGATGGCCGATTAGCGCGCTCGTGCGTCTGCAATTGTTCGTTTGGAGCGTCGTCGTGCTCAATAGAAGATACTCCGTAGCGAAGTTAGCGGGGAGGGGGTGGAGTGGCATTATTGAGAATATGGGGATCGCGTTTCTATGTGTGGGGATTACACGTTAGACGATGCGAGTCGAAGGGGAAGACATCGCGCCCTTTGGTCGCATAGCTTTTCGCAGCTAAATGCTGAGGACGAAACATTCTCCGGGCCGTCGTAGGCAAATCGATGAGAGGAGCGGGGAAAGGTGAACGAGCGATAGAGAGAGAGAGAGAGAGAGACGGGTGAAAGTTTATCTATTACTGTCACTGAGACACTTGAAGGAACATGAATATCCGTCGCAACAGTGGATTATTGTAAACTGCGCTGAGAATAGGGTAATTATATATAAAAGGTAACGCCTCATCGATTTTCTTTTTATTTTGAATGTTATAGAGGATGAAATTCTGAGTGACTTTTTTTGTAAAACAACTCGGGGACGCTTGTTATTTCCGAGACATTTGACATTGAAGTATTGGAATTATGCAAAAGTTGCTGTTTATTTTTATGATCGTGTAACACATGTTGTTATTCCGAGTTAGGTTAAGTTAGCTTATTGTTTATTTATTAATAAATTTAAAGTTTAAAACTACAAGTTATATACTGATGTTTTATATAATATACTCAATATAGCTACACACAATTACTCGCTACGCACATATTATACAGGATAGGAAGAAAAGGTCTTCCCCCCCTGTCGGATCCCTTGAATAACTTTGAAAATATGCAAGATAAAAAAAATATTAAATACAGTAGTTGCAGGGTTTTAAGTGACGCATCACATGGCAATACTACGAGGATAGTTCTAGAAGTTGCCTGACCTAACAAAGAAAACACAACAAATTTGGGAAAAAATATCTTTATTTTAAAGTTTTTTGTAAATCATGTCCTTGTTTCTTAGCTGTATCTCGAAATATAAATAAATTGATTGATTGACAATTATCCATAACTCTGACAATATATATTTTTCGGCCCATGTTTATTAGAACTTTTTTCCTCCGTTTGTATTACCTGCCTTTAAAGTTCTGAATCCTTTTTTTGAACACCCTATATACAAATACACACAATAACCTAAGTTAACTTAACTTAGGATAACAACATATGTTGTATGATTATACAAATAAACAACCTTTGAGAATGCATAATTCCAATATTTTAAATGTTTCGGGAACTACAACCGACCCCTATATAATTATATCACAAAAGATTACTCAGAATTTCACTCTTCATAACATATCTCAAAGTAAAAAAAAAAAATCAGTAGATGTCACCTTTTATGCATATTTACCAAAATTTCTAAGGCTCTTCCTTAATATTCGGCGAACGAAGGATAAAACGCGCCAAGAAGAAAAGAGGTGCGATCGAAATGGAGGCTGCTAAGACGCTCAGGCAGCTTCGAATCGAATCAGGCGGGTCTGATTGATGATGATTGAGAATTTACTCGTGCGTGACGAATAAACTCGCATATTCGCCGGTGAGATGGATTTGCAAGTAGGCAAGGGGGAAGGAAGAGGAGACTCACGCGAAAATTCTTGTATCCCAGATGTTCACGGTCCCGTCGAAGGAACCCGATATGATCTGATTTCCATCGTCGTTGTAATGCAGCGCAATAACTTCCGCAGTGTGGCCCCTCAACGTCCCCAACTCCTGACCTGTCGAATCCAAATCGTGTCTCTCGCATAAAAGCAGAATACGCTCGCGGAAATAGCGCGTCGGTGACTTGATCCCGAGGAACACGTGTCGTACGTGTCGCCTTTTGCTCAATCGATGGGCCGATTAACCCTTTGAAGCATGAATTTTTCTATGCAATAATAAAAGAAACTGATTATGTACATAGAGGTTTTCTGGGTCACTGATTATGCGTCTGGAGTCAAAATTTTAAAATTCAAAATGGCGGATTAAATATGGCAATTTCAAATGGCTAACTTTAATATGATATTATGGATATCATATCATGGTATCAAACTCGGTATATATATGTTTTCTCGATCATAAATGACAAATATTGAGTCGAAATTAAAAAATTCAAAATGGCGGATCCAATATGGCGACTTTAAATGGCTAACTTTAATATGATATCATGGATTTTAATTTCGGAAATCTGGTAACAAATTCGTGATCAGCGGCCCAGAAAACCTCTACGTACCTATTTCTATCGAAATCGAAGGATTTTGAATATTTTTATCCATCATATTGGATCCGCCATTTTGAATTTCGAAATTCTGACCTCGGATTTGTAATCGACGACCTCAAAAACGTAAAATGAACAAGTTTCGTTACGACTGTTTTTATAGATCACCGTTAAGTGAATTTTTACTGAAAAATATATAATTTTACGCAATTTGTTTATTTAGAGGATTGGACATTTTATATTTTTAGCACATATATTAATACCTAACATATCTTAGAGGTGAAAAAAATTCGGACGAAAATATCAAAAAGATAGCTTAAATAATTAAAAATAAAGAAAGAAAAGGTGGGATTGTGGGATCCCACCATGCTTCAAAGGGTTAAGCGGTTCAAATCGCGGCGCGATTAGCCCAAATCGGTCAGATCGATTCGCTTGAAGAAAGATTAAAGTGGAGCAGCCATCGTGCTACGACGCAAAATCCGCAACCGATTTGAAATCGGTCGCTCGTTAATTTTTCACTTGCCACTCCGAGTCGCTTGCCGAACGGGCGCTACGGGATTAGCAATGGCGTTATTATTCCACGGAGTAATAAAGTGAATAAAATAAACTCTTAAGTAATAAAGTAATAAAGGGAGTAAAGTAAACCCTTAAGAGCCATCTTATCAAAGAAGATCATGTTAATGCTGTCATGGGTGTGGAATTTCAGAATACGTTCCTTTATTCTAGAGATCAAAACACTCAAACAGGTGTGTAATTAAATGTTCCATTATTATCGAATATTGGATGGGAAATAGAGAAGTTGTCGCTTGCAGCGAGATAACGAACGTTTCTTTCGTTTAATAAAATCGAAACAAAATTCGCATGGGGTGAAATTTCAGCCACGGTGGCCCTTAAGGGTCAGAATTGAATGGAATTGTCCACGCTATAACGCGAGCCGCTGATAATTGGAGGACAAAGCGGTGATGAACTGTCGCGCTACATTACCGGACGAGATCGAGAAACAGACTCGACATTCGCGGCTCGTGTCGCGAATCGGCGCGCGGGCGCGCGTCTATTGTGTGAAATAACACCGCGGTATTTTCAATACCGGTCTCCACGTGGAATATTTTCGACGTCGCGTCGATGGAGCCGGTCGCGAGCTTGCATCGCGTCGGCGAAAATTTCGCCACCACCACTTCCGCCTCGTGGCCCCACATGGTCGTGAGGCAGTGACCCGTCTGCGAGCACCAGACCTTCGCGGTTTTGTCGAAGGATGCGGTTACGATTTTGTCCCTGGAACGCAAAACAACGCTGGTAAATCTGTGTGGAATTCTTACGTCAGTTATCAGATTGGCAACGAAATCGTGTCATTTTTCACAGATAGATGGCTTTACTGGTGGTTAGCCCTTTGTTGCACTTTCTAGTTCTTTTCTAGTGAATATAATTTTGTGAAACTTGTTACTCGGGAGTTTTTAAGGTCGCTGAATACAAATCCGGTGTGAAAAATACGAAATTCAAAATGATGGATCAAATATGGCGGATGAAATTTTCAAAATCAGCCGAATTCGTTTGAAAGAACCTCCGCAAAAAGGGTCGATTTTTTAAGGCCCGTTTTTCGGTCTTCGATTTTGGAATTGAATTTTATGCCAAAAGATAGTTCATGATGAGACATTAATTACAGAAAAGTTTTACGTTGAGCATACGATTGGTTTCAAAGATGTAGAGGGTCAAAGTGGTCACTACCTACTAAGAAAGTATGACACTAATAATGCTTTATCGCACGAACTTTTGCAAAATTCGGTATTTATGGGTTCTTTGAGTTGCTGATTATGAATCTGATGTCAGATTTTAAAAATTCAAGATGGCAGGTGCAACATGGCAGACACACATAGCGAAACAATCATTTACTTTTATTGGAACTGTTATGTTGTGGTTTTTTGGCTAGCTGATTGCGAATTTTCTATTAGGTTTCTATTAGGTTTTCTATTAGTTTTCGAAAGTAATTTTTCCAACGACAATTTTTGAATGGAAAAAGTACTTTCTTTATTGTTTTTTCATAAAAAAAATATCAAATTCAAATTGATACGTTACATGACGCATAAAGGATAACGTGACAGTTTTATTTGTTATATTTAGAAGCTTATCTTGCCTTCATTGGCTGGATAACCTTTTCATCTTGCTTTCACTGGCTGGATAACATTTTTATCTTGCCTTCATCAGCTGGATAACTTTTTTATCTTGCCTACACTGAAGGTAAATGTAAATTTGATAGAAAATTCGCAATCTTCGGCTTCTTCTGATGGGGTTGATTCCGATAGGTCAAACAGTACTTGGATCCGTTTTTCGCCGACAAGGGCCAGAAGTTCCATGAAGAGTCATGAAGCTACCAGACAACAAAAACATATAGCAAACAGATAGCAAAAGTCCATCGAAATAAACGGACAATGTATTGCAGAATAAAGTTTTCGCTTTGTAAAAAATCGCTTTTCATTTACATAGAAAAAAAACGACATGACTTTCTTGCCAACCTGATAATTCTGGATCACACGCGACCTCTCGCAGGAGCGATTTCGCGACACAACTGCATCGAAGGAGTGCTCGCGATGTGTCGCAAGATCGTGCATTTTTCGTCGCCACGCTCGCACGGACGAAGCAGGTCGTGCGCCGATCTAATAAGTGTGCCACCCGAGCGAGCGCGTCTTTTATTCATGGGCGGATCGATATCGTGTTGCGAGCAAGTTCGATTGTCGGGTGATTGTCCTACTCACGAAGCCGGATTGTTGAAGGAAACGGCATAGACGACGTTTTTATGGCCTTCGAGAGTAAGAAGCTCCGTTCCACTGTCAATGTCCCAAACTTTACAAGTTCGGTCATAGCTGCCCGTCAAGCATCTGCCGAGCAAACATCGATATTATCCCATCATCGATATTACGTCGATACTACGTCGTTCCTCGAACGACGGTCTGGCAAGTGAGTTATCCGGCATCGGTTCGTCCCTCACATCGAATGAAAGTATGGTTGTTCTTCCGGAAATGTCTATATGCTCCGATTTAGCTTGAACTTTGCAAGTAGGTTCCTTTTGGGTAATAAAGAAATACGTCAAAAGGACTCTTGGCGACTCGGAAGTTGAGCAACTTCTTCGATAATCTTTCATAATTTTCTGTGTTAAGGGTCAACATTGTGGTGATGTATGTTCTGATATGTACAAGATGTTCAGGATCTTTTGGAAACGAAAAATTGTGAAGATTAAATCAAAGGAAACTGAGAAGAAAAGTCAAGTACTATTTTATAAAAATCGCAATAGTTATTAAGTTATTGTTGATTGAAAATGATCATACCTAGAGGCTCTTTTAATTGATAACTTGAAAGTTTGATGATCATTTGCGTACTTTTTGCAAAATGGTACTTGACTTTTCTTCTCAATTTGATCCAATTAATCTTCACAATTTTTCATTTCCAAAAGATTCCGGACACCCTGTATATTATCACGATCAGATCATTGACTATGAGTTATGTATGTTAGACAATTATGCAAGACAATTTCGAATTTAAGTAAAATAAGTTAGGTTAGGTTAGGTTAAGTTAAATAGGTTAGGATTAAATTATTAAAATAAAATATATCATTCTTTACGCATAAAAATCCTGCTACTCTTTATTAAAGTTTGCTGCATTTTAAAACGAAGACAATATTAGAAAAATCCTTGGAAGAGACTAATGAGTATGGCAACTAATAAAACTAATAAAATTTATTTTTAATTGCGATATAATTAAGAAATCTTTAAGAAAAACCAGATAGAACGTGCCTATTAAAATATAGAATACTAAAACATAAAATACTAAAATATAAAATATTAAACTATGACAATTTTATTACCCGCTTCAGATCTTTTCTATAACAGATTAATTTTCTATAACTGGATTTTATCGTGATATATCTAAAGCATCCTCTTAAAATATCTTTCTAACGCCCACATCAGTTTTCCATGTTAAAGCGTTATTTCGCAAAATCTAAAGCATCCCTAAACGATCCTTCTAAGACCCATTTTCAGCTTTTCCTATCAAAGCCTTATTTTGTAAAATCTAAAGTATGCCTAAAAGAGTATGCATCTCGAAACCTGATGTGGTAATAATGAGGTATCCCTTTTTAGGGTATCTTACTTTCAGTCTTATCGGGGCCTTATGCTTCATGAGGATGGCCCTAACATTTTTTTGCTCGGTTTGTTTTGCGCACCCTATCGGCGACTGTCCCTTGATATACTTAAATTGAATTACTTAAAAAACTAGTTCAACATTCGAGTCGCCAAATATCTTTCTGGAATATTTTTTTTTTTTCTAAGGGCCTATTTACAAGGCTGTTTTTTCAGCTAAACCGGAGCATGGGCGTTTCCGGAAGTTCCGTAAATGCTTCCGCGCGTTAAATTGATCGCGCGCATAATTATCCTTACGTGCTTCTCTTTAAGCGATTAGTCGAGCGCCAAGCTGTTACATGAAACACCGGCCGCTCTCTCTCTCTCTCTCTCTCTCTCTCTCTCTCTCTCTCTCTCTCTCTCTCTCTCTTGTTTCATAAATCTCGTGAATTTTCTGAATTATTGATCGACGATATTAACGCGGAGTACCTTTTACCTAGTTTATCGAGCGCCACGTTAGTGACCGGCAAAAGGTGGGTCTGCAGGGTTTTGTATTTATAGTAGCGCTTGTGTGCGGCGTTTGTGTCGCAAACTTTAGCCTGCAGCCTCTGCAGGGTCTCGACTAACTGGTCCATTACACTTTCGGTTATTACGGGTTCGGTCGCTTTTATGCTCTCCGCTAATGCTCTTATGTCCGTTCTGCAAAGTAAGTCGTGTAATTTCTCGCTTTACTGCGCGTGCATACGTCAGATACGTGTATATATAGCGAGCTTGACATTTAAGGCGCAGCGAAAGTGCGAAAATACAAGACAACAATGTCAGATGAGTTTTCTCTTTTTCTTTTGGTTTTTTTTTTATAAGAACAAGCGTGAGAAAATAGGAACGGAAGCAGACAATTGGAACAGAGTGAGTTTCGCTGCGCGAAACGCAAGCGGAATAATGCATGATCGACGAGCAATTTTAGTCGTCTCTCATTCTGAAGCGGTGGAAAATAATCGTGAGAGTCGAATGCGCAGTTACTCGGCGGACAAATCCAGCAGATCGATGATCTTCGTCCTGACATCGCCGCCTTGCGTGTATTCCAGCGCGAGCCCTGCAAACATTTCAGCCGCTTTACGTATATTTATAAATTCAGCTAATCTTAAGGGGGGAATTATATGCGGAGCAGGCCGTTCCCAAGGCTATTTTTACGAAATTTTTTACACAAATGGTAAGATCAATGGACTTGAAATTTTCACAGTATATTCATTGATGTTCAAAGTATAAAATAAGTTTTATTGAATCACAAAAACCGATGAAAAGTAGTCTACGACCGTGCATTCCATGTTTGGTATACTAAAAATTGCAAAGTTTGGCGGAATGCACGGACGTGGACAATTTTTTTTTCAGGCACGCCGTTTGCATCGTCATAAAGTTCAAATCTTCCCCTTCAATTTGAAAAGAAAATGGAGTCGCTACAATTTTTTTTCGCAAAGTTACAGCCCTTCAAAAATATCGTTGTTTTTGACTTTCGGGCCAAGTACCGGCCGGCGGATTAAATAACTGGAAATCATAGTGGAGCAACGGCAAAAGCGTTTGTTGACATACGTTGGAGTCAATAATTACTGTGGAAGTGACGAACCACGGAGTCCTTATCTCTTCTGTGACGGACACACACACACACAACACACATGCGTGCACACGTGGCCCGAAGGCTAAAAACAACGATATTTTTGAAGGGCTATAATTTTGCGAAAAAAAATCATAGCGACTCCATTTTTTTCAAATTGAAGGGGAAGATTTGAACTTTATGACGATGCAAACGGCGTCCCCGAAAAAAAGTAGTCTACGACCGTACATTCCGTCAAACTTTGCAATTTTCAGTACACCAAACATGCCCTCAGATATCAGGGGTTACAGGGGTAGGGGTGCATCGCATGCAAAAAATGGAGATGCATTCTTAAAGTAGAGACTTCAAGCTTCATTTAAATAGAAAATCATTAGTCTACAATAATTTTTCGCGAGATAATCGCCAGTCAAAATTGGCCAATTTTTGGCAATAAATTATCTATGCCATAATTCTTTTGAGCAGTGTATATACAGGGTGCTAAATTTCATACGTAACAGGTAAAAAATTTCGAAAACTATGAAAGATATTAAGAAAAACTAAAACACATGTTCCATGATTTCGATGGAGAAAGAGAATGGCATTATCAGTTTTTTATTTAGAGGACATTTTCAAGGTCAGTTGAAGGTCAACTTAATTTTTTAAAATAAAAAGCCCAATTTTTTTATTATATCTTCTTTTTCTACCAATTAATTTGAACAACTTTTGTCTGAAACATTTTTTTTATTTGCCTAATATTTTTTGAAATATTTAAGGAAAACTTGGTAACTTTTTCAACATTTAACTTACGATATCTCGCTAACTATTCGTCGAAAGAAAAAATAGTATTAGACTTTTTTACTTTATTTACTATCAAGAATATATTACTATAATAGTGCCCTAACTTTTGTTAACTTACCGAGCTTTGGAAATTTCAAAATTATTAAATTAACAGAAGTTAGAGCACTATTATAATAATATATTCTTGACAAATAAGGTGAATAAAGTGAATAAAGTAAAAAAGTCTAATGCTATTTTTTCTTCTGACGAATAGTTAGCGAGATATCGTAAGTTAAATGTTACAAAAATTACCAAGTTTTCCTTAAATATTTCAAAAAATATTAGGCAAATAAAAAAATGCTTCAGACAAAAGTTGTTCAAATTAATTGGTAGAAAAAGAAGATATAATAAAAAATGGGGCTTTCTATTTTAAAAACTTCTATTTTAAGTTGACCTTCAACTGATCTTGAAAATGTCTTCCAAATAAAAACTGATAATGCCATTCTCTTTCCTCTTCGAAATCATGGAATATGTGTTTTAGCTTTATTTAATATCTTTCATAGTTTTCGAGATTTTTTATCTGTTATATCTGTTTTATCTGTTATGATATTTGAAATTTAGCACTCTGTATATATATTTTTCACTTTTATCCTATTTGAAGAGTATTTGACGAGATATGCAAATTGGAAGATGAAACTAACAAGGTTATTAATTTTTGTATGAAGAGTCCTATCTTTCCTCTTTAAAATCAGCTCAAGAAGAAGTCGCTATCCTTATTTGTGTGAGAGATATGAATTTTTAAAGTTCTGGAGCATATAAGTCCCAGGCACGAAAGACGCAGCTATCATGCATGTTCGCGATTCGTCTCGACTCTATCGGATTTTTACTCTTGGTATTTTTACTCTATCGGATCTTTACTTCTAATCACTGATTCTTCCTCTTGCCTCCGCGGGAAAAGCTCAATTTCTCGGAGTGAGATCTCGCTCGAGGTGAGCGAGACATTTTTTAAACGATCATGAAAATACCGCTCATAATACTCAAGGACGCAAAATATCGAATGCTTCGCCCGAATTTAGACTCCGACTCGATATGAGCGAATGATTTAATCCATTGAAGCGAATGCTTGACGCGGCGATGGAATAAACTCGGCTACCGGAGCGATTTTCTCTAATGAAACTGTCGCTCTGCAAATCGTGTCGCGATTGAGAGACACGATTGTTGACGCGTCTGCGCACAAATCGGTCATGAGCAGCTATTACAATACACGTGACAGCCGACATCACAACCGTAGCGGAGAACCGCAGGAAAAGATTAGTAATATTCTTATCTATCAGATAAGAATACGACACTAGCCAATAATTAGGGGTATGCAAAAGTTTCCATTATAGATATACGTTCGCATATAGATGGCATTGTGAATTATTCGCATTAAAGTTGCGACGCATTTTTGTTGGATTACGTCAGTATTGGTACTCGACATAGAAACTGCATAAAAACTGATGCATAATACATGGAAAGAAAGGTTTGCTAATATAGGGACTACTAAAAATATCAACTACAGAAGCAAATTTGCTTGCTTTCGCAGCAAAGGATTTAGTTATGATAACCAAAAAATTTGCCAATATATGATATTAGCAAATCTTTTAGCTATCACAATTAAATCTCTTGCTATAAAAGCAAGCAAATTTGCTCTTGCAGCTGATATTTTTAGCTGTCTATATATTAGCAAATCTTTATTTTCCGTGTAAGTCATGTTCATTGACGTAAGCATTTTTAATTCGTATGAAGATGAAGGTCGATAAGACGCATATTCGTCATTGTACGCTTTTTTTTATTTCATCAGCGCAAAACAGCTGCCGAAGCAACCGGAATCGTTTGTGAAATTCATGGTGAGAGAATGGTAGTTAAAAATTCATGTCGTGAGTGGTTTCGGCACTTTAAAAGTGGCGATTTTGACCTGGAAGACAAGAAGTGTTCCGGGCGACCGCAAAAGAGACGAGTTCAAGTTGGAAGCGTTATTGCAAGAGGATTCGACTCAGTCGAGTGTAAAACTTGCGAAAAGATTACATGTTAATCAGAGCACTGTAATTCGATTCGCTTGCATGAGACGGCAAAGATTCCGAAGAAAGAAAAATGGGTTTCCCATGAATTATCCGAGAACGCTGCCCGCCGAGCCACCATTTGCCTTTCGCTGTTCAATAGACACAAACACAAATCTTTTTTGTATCGGATTGTGATCGGCGACGAGAAATGGATTATAACAAGTTGATGGTCAGTACGATGTTGAAATTTGATAACACTAAAAGATTTGACATTTCTCTATGAGATGTGACAGTTTGCGCGCTAGTTTGTTACTGACAGTTTCATTGTTTATACACGTCTAAAATGGATCGCACAAAATTGCATTTTCGACATTCGTTACTTTTTTGTTTGATTTAAAAAGACCGGCAACTGAAGCTCACGAAATGCTTGTTACTTATGGTGATCAAGCTCCATTGTATTCCAGCTGTAAATTTTCGTTTCAACGACTCAAAAGTGGTAATTTCTATTTGAGTGACAAAGAATGTACTGGTCAACCAAAAAAATTCGAAGATTCTGAATTGCAAGCATTATTGAATGAAGACACCGCTCAAACGGAAAAATAATTGGCTGGACAACTTAACGTCGATAAATCAACAATTTTGTAAACGCCTACACGCCATGGAAAACTTTCAAAAGGAAGGCAAATGGCTTCCACATGAATCGAGTGAAAGTGCCATTGCAAATCGTTTGAATGTCGCCATGTCTTTGCCTGCCAGACAGAAAACAAGTTCTTGTGGTGAATTGTAACTGGAGATGAAAAGTGGATTTATTTTGATAATCCAAAGCGAAAAAAATCATGGGTTGTTCCAGGATAACCATCAATATTGACACCAAAACGGAACATTCACGGTCACAAAGCAGCGCTCTGTATTTGATGGGATATGGAAGGAGTGATGTACTATCAGCTTCTAAAACCGAATGAAACAGTCATGGGGAAGCGATGCCAGCAACGATCGAACAAATTGAATGATGAATTGATGCAAAAAAGGCCAGCGATAGCCAGCGACAGACGCAAAGTGACTCTTTTGCACGATAATGCTCGTCCACATGTTGCTTCAATAGTTAAACCAACATTGTTAGAACTCGAATGGAAAATCCTTCCGCACCCAGCTCCATTCGCCAGACCTAGCACCATCTGATTACCATTTAATCCGATCGATGCAACACGCTCTGGCAGATACACACTTCAATAATTACGAGGATGTGCAAGAATGAGTGTCTGATTTTTCTCCGGGTCAAATTCGTGCGACTCGATCCGCTGCCCAGGTGAAATTTCACCCCGAAAAGTCCAGACACTAATGAAAAGCTAATAGACCGAAATCGATTTCACACCGGTTAGGTTAAGTAATCTCGCTTCTACTGATATCCGCCACAGGTCTGAATTGCAGATCCCTTCGATGCACCATCACGCTTGTGCTTACCTGGCGGGAAATAACGGAGCAGAAATTTCAGCAGCTTCATGTGGGCGCATTCAAATTACGTGGCAAGATGAGTGTTTCGGACAGGACCGCGCGAGTTGTTACTATCCGACGGAGAGGTGGCGCGAACCTAATTATAAAATGTGATTACACATCACACACACGGCGAGATTATGACGTATCGCGTAGATGCGTTTCCTCCGCGCTGACCGGAGCTGTCAAAACCGCGCTTCGTGCGTGCCTGCCCGTCAAACGCGCCGTCCTGCAAGAATGATCGTCTTTCGTTGCTTGGCGCTAGCAGATTGGTTACCAAGGCTCGCTTGATCAATTTCGTACGGTAGTTGGATTCACGGTAAAATCTACGGATCGAATGAATATTAATAAAGAAATAGAAAAGAAAAGAAATTTGCGTTCTCCGCAAATTGCGGTCCTTTAGAGAATTTGATGCAAAAAGAAAATATATATATACATATACAGGGTGTATAAAAAGTACCGAGACGGTGAAATATCACAAAAACTAAGCATTTTAGAAAAAAATGTTTCAAATAAAAATTGTAGGGTTTCAAAAGATCTATTTATAGATATTATGCGTTTGACCTTGGGTGGGTCGCCAAGATCGGGACAAGGTCACCTTGAATTTTTGGAATGGGACCCCCTATTTTTTTTATTACATATTCTTGTAGCCCTTCTTCAGACTTTTCAAAGCACTATAACTTTTTCTACTTTGAGTAAGCCATTTCGAAGTTATCGAGCTTTTTATGATAAGATGTCCAGCCAGCCAAGGCAAGGTCCTTACAGAAGCGTTTGAGAATAATGTTAATCTCTAAAAAAAAAAAGTAAAGTCTAACGAATAAGCTAGGAAACAAAAAGATTTATCCAATAAACAGAAATTTGTATTAATTAGTTAACAAAATTGATAATTCAATTAAAGAAAGAAAAATTAGGAAGAAAAATCATTTATCTTTTCCTCACGAAACAACGCGTACAACATGTACAAATAATGTGTTCTACTTCAAGTCAAATTCATTGCAATTGATTTGTAATGATTCGAAGGTGAATTTTAGTACTATTATAAATTTAGTACATTAGTATTATTTTTTAATATTACATGTGTCTGAAATACAAGTCATGAAATTTGGGAGGAAAGAAAGGAGTTAGAGAAGATACTGATGGACTATGTAAGATGGGTTTTTAATTTAGAATTCTGTACACCGAGATATTTAATCACAAAGGAGTTGGAGTTAGGGAAATTGAAAATAGACTGAAGTATCAGAACAGGTAAATTTGAAAGGAAAATAAAAGAAATGGAAGATGGAAGATGGGTTAAGAGCTGCTGGGAAGAGAAACAGAAGAAGGAGAGGAGATATGAATATAGTTTAGAAAGGGAAAGATATTACAATAGGAATGATTGGGGAACTGTTTGGGGATTGTAATAGAGGCTATTCTAGAAAGAGAGGGAAACATAGAAGGAAAGCTGATTAGAAGAGAAAGGGATATACAAAGACAGATAGAGGAAGGAAAGATAAGAGAGGTGAAATATAACAGAAAGTATAAGGATATAATGGTTAGGGAGGGAAATGTTAGATATTTGTTAAAGGAAAATTTGAGTAGGGTAGGCAACAAGGAAGGAATAAAAGCTTTAGCTAGATTAAAATGTGGTAATATGGAGGAACGGAGTAAATATTGGCTGAAAGAGGAATACAGGAAATGTGTTTTTTGTAAAGAAGGTTGGGACACAGTGGAACATTACATCAGAGAGTGTTGGGAGATTAAAGGATGGTTTGTAGAATTAGGTAAGAATGAGGAAGTTAGGATAAAAAGAATATAGGATGACGAGTTAGATGAAAAAAAAAGAGAAAGTTAAAGTTAAAGAAAATATGGCGGGAAAAAGAAAAGAAGTTAAAAGAAGGCAAAAATAGAGAAATTTTGGGATAGGAGACGATCTGTGATAATATATAATAAATAAATTAAGAGTGAGATTAGATAGGTAGTAGACAATATAATAAAAAATTGGAATTTCCATTTAAGAAAAATAATGATCGGTGAATATCTCGAAATGGCGCCATCTGTAAACAAAATGATATGGTTATTTTATCTCCCCCTTGAAACCATACAACTTTTGTCTGAAACATTTTTTTTTTTAAATGCTTAGTTTCCGAGATATTTCGCCGTCTCGGTACTTTTTATACACTCTGTATATACATATACAAATATATATGTATATTTCTATTAGGTGACTCAAGTAAAATATTTTTCGTGTATTTTTATTCGTATAATGTATGAAATAAAACAATGTAAAATTATACCAAAGTATGGTACGGTATAGAAAATTTGTTATCACTTGTTCCCATGTACATCATGAGTTATCGGAGGAGCGTGACGTCGCCTTCGCTGTTTTATCGACGAAAAATGTATACTCGACATAATTCGTAATATTTTCGCGAGCGGCGTCCATCTGCAAGCTCCATTTATTATTTGCGATCGCGCCAGCGTCTTCGAATTGCTAGGGTATCCTTTATTTGAGTGCTTTTGTGGGTATCTTTTATTATTATGCTGCATCAACTGCTTTGTTTCTTCTATTGTTGATTTATCCTTGTCGTTGAGATTGTTTGATATGTACCTTAACCGTGAAAATACCGTCCTGAGAGGAAGATATTGATAATTTGCTTGATCTTTTGCATTGTGAGTGCCAATTTATAATTCCTCCAATTTCTATGACGTTCTATTGGCATTCTTGAAATGCTTGACTACATATTATTTTGAGAAACATTGGTATAATCACATATCAATTGTATTAGCAAACATAGGTTGCTTCAAAATGTCTGCGGACTACAGTGACAGATATGTATTTGAAGCTGAATGGTACGACAAAATTGCCAGCCTGTTGAAGAAATTTTACTTGTATTATTTTCCATCGGACAATACTATTGAATTGGTGTGTACAAGTTATTACAAGTTGATGCTACAACCAACATGACACAACTGTACATAATTTGTGTGTTTCAGTTTGACTTAAAGACCAGGAAAACCTTCCTAAAGAGAACAAGATGCGAAGGCATTAAGGCTGATGATATTTATGTGGGTGCTGTAGTGACAATATTTTCAAGAAACATGAAAATTACCAGCTATGCAGATACTTATACCAAAAACAAATTGCAGACACATATGGAAAAGTATACGCACATGCACAAATTATTGTAAAAATTTTACTTGTAAACCTTTCTGTTGGAATAACAATTTCATTTCTTCAGGGTTTTTGTATTTCTAAAGCCAGATGTTTTGGACAAGATGGGTGAAATATTAAAGATGATTCTAAACTATGATTTTCAAATTACAAATATGAAAATGATGAAATTGACTCCGGATGAAGTAACAGAACATTATCCAATGAAAGATACAGATAACAAAACGTAAGTGGAATTGGTATAATGAAAATAGTTTATTTCACTGACTATTATTTTCTAGTGATTAGTCTTGGATACATTTTATATGTTTCTTTAGATGTATTATAAATTACCTTACCTCTGGTCCCGTTGTTGCTTTGGAACTGTTGGGAAAACATGGTGTAGCAAGATGGAAAGAACTGGCAGGTCCAAAAGATAGTAACGAAGCTTGTTCAACAGCAAGATCTTCATTAAGAGCTTGTTATGGAAAGGACGAAATACATAATGCTGTGTATGGATCTGAGAATGTTGAAAGAGCAACACAAGTAAGTGATTCTTTTTTTCAATTTTAACACACAATCATTGATTCGAAATATATTCCAATCTTATGTGTTTTCAACACGCGGTTCATATTTGTAGGAGTTGCAATATTTCTTTCCCGATGCAAAAAGTAAGACCAAAGGACCAAAGAACACTGCGACTCTACAAGATTGCACCTGTTGTATTATCAAGCCGCATGCCGTACAAGCGAAGCTTGCTGGTAAGTCGTGCATCTTTACGTATAATGTACAAATGTAAAATGTATTGTCCACATATTTTATATTCTAAATTCAATATATGTAAATTTAACGTATGAATATATTGTTTAGGCGCTATTATCGACGACATTCAAAAAGCAGGTTATACGATTAACGCGGTGCAACAGTTTCACGTGAATCACGTTAACGCCGAGGAATTTTTAGAGATCTATAAAGGCGTCCTTCCCGAGTACAACGTACGTCTCTATTCACTTTGCGATTTTTGCACAGACGCGTAATCATTTAAACGTCCGGAGGAGGAAATACTTTCATAAACGTCTGCTACAGGCAATGGTGACTGAATTACATTCTGGCCCATGTGTCGTCATGGAAGTGAGTCGTAAAGACGAAGGTCAGAACGTAATTGCCGATTTCAGGAATTTATGCGGCCCAAGAGATCCGGTAAGTATCACTTGGATTCGCCTCGCTCGCAGCGTTATTGACTTGCTCGGCGTTGCAGGAGATTGCGCGACAAATCAGACCGGGCACGCTTCGAGCGAAATACGGGAAAACGAAGGCGCAGAACGCCGTGCACTGTTCCGACTTACCGGAGGACGGCGTGCTGGAGGTGATTAAAGTCCCAGTCGTGTTTCTATAACTGATGATTGTACGACAAACCTACAAACTTAGACGCATTATGTGCAAAAAATTGAATCTTTTTCAGGTGGAATATTTCTTCAAGATACTCGACGGGCTCTGAGCGACCGAATTGCGGCGTGTATCGCGCTATTGTGTTGAGAATATTTTTATACTTTTGTACGACCAAATAAACAGCCTTGAAGAAACAAAATGTCAGCTCTCAGGGCCCTGCAGCAATCGAGAGATAGAAATAACAATATTTCCAATGTTGAGTTTGACGATGTTTGCTTGCGGAATGGAAAAATTGCTCGGGTCACTTTGATCGCTCAGGCGCGCGTTTGTATTAGCGCTCATTTTGAGCCGCGCGTCTGCTTCATACCTGAACTTTCTATCGCTTGATACATACGACGCGTTTCTTCTGTGCGATGTCGCCTGATCAGCAGGATCGACGAGCGGACACTTTCATTCCTACTGTTGCTCGGACCAATCACGCGTGCGTGCGTGCGTGCGTGCGATCTTTCTCCCTCCTTAATTAATGTCCTTCCTAGCGCGTCAGCGTTATAACATTTCAGTAACAGGTAACCGAATACTCGACCCACTTGGGCCGCGTCTTTCTCGACGCGGAAAAATGCAAAGAGGTCACCGGAGTTCTTTCGAATTAACATATTTCCCACCTCGGGGATTTTTGCAACCTCTCCGGCGGAGCGTCGGCATTCGCCGGACACTAAACGAATCTAATTTTCAGGGGCAAGCATGAAAGTCGGTGACATCGTCGCGTTCGACATTGACAGCTCCTCTCGGATGAGCCTTGCGTACGCACGCACCCGCCACGCAAGTGCGGTCGAAAGTGTAGTCGAGCTTTCTTATATTCCACTCTCGAGGTGTACGATTACGCACGCGTGTCTACGTCTGCTCCGCCAGAGTCTACGTTTCGCTCGGATATCTCCAGCGGGCAAGGGTTTCCGGAGAAAGGGGGACTCCTGAAGTAGCTCGAAGCTAGTTTCGCAATGTTCCACTTTGGCACGCGGTTACTCCGACACTGATACTCGCGCGCGCGCGCGCGCGCGGCGATCAGCTCGATCCTCCTAAAGCCCGTGTCACACTACGGGTTGAAGATCAAGGATTGCGGATTGAAGATTGAAATTTGACCAATCGGAATAAAGCGAATCAAAACCGTTCGTTCGTTAATTTGTCGAGATCTAATCTTCAATCCGCAATCCTTGATCTTCAATCCGTAGTGTGGCACGGGCTTAATGCTCGGCGGAATCGCGGACGAAAGAAATTCTTCCGTCCTCGAAAGCCAACGATAAAGTTACGTGATCGAGATGATATATTGGGAGGTTGAATTAATTCTGGTCTTGTTTTGTCAACATTTTTTATCTTTATTTTAAAGAAATCGCTAAATTTACATCAACCAAAATATTTTCCGCCGTTAGCTGCGACTTTTTCCCATCTTTCCGGCAACATGGCGATTCCACGACGATAGAACGATCTTTTGTCAACATTATTATCTTTATTTTAAAGAAATGGCTAAATTTACATCAATCAAAATATTTTCCGCCGTTAGCCGCGACTTTCTGGCAACATGACGATTCCGCGACGATGGGACGATCTGTCTTTCGAAGCAATCCAATGAGACACCCATTTTCGCGCATCCTCGTAATCATTGAAGTGTGTACCTGCCAAAGCGTGTCGCATCGATCGGAATAGATGGTAACCAGATGATGCTAGATCTGGAGAGTACGCTGGATGCGGAAGGATTTCCCGTTCGAGCTCTAACAATGTTTGTTTAACGATTGAAGGCAACATGTGGACGAGCATTATCGTGCAAAAGAGTCACTTTGCGTCTATCGCTGGCTATCGCTGGCCTTGTTTGCAACAATTCATCATTCAATTTGTTCGATCGTTGCTGGTATCGCTCCCCCGTAAAGCCCTAAACACAATGCCAGGCAACAGGCAATAAGAATAAAAATAGACCAATCACAATAGATTACTGTTTAATTCGGTTTTAGAAGCTCATAGTACACCACACCTTCCATATCCCACCAAATACAGAGCGCTGCTTTCTGACCGTGAATGTTTATCAAAATAAATCCACTTTTTATCTCCAGTTACAATCCGCCACAAGAAACTCTTTTTTTTCTGTCTGGCAAGCAAAGGCATGGCGACATTCTGCAAACGATCTGCAATGGCACTTTCACTCGATTCATATGGGATCCACATGCCTTCCTTTTGAATTTTTGCCATGGTGTGTAGGCGTGTAGGTTTAGAAATTATTGATTCATCGACATTGAGTTGTTCGGCCAATTGTTTTTCCATTTGAACGGTGTTTTCATTCATTAACGCTTGCAACTCAGAATTTTCGAATTTTTTTGGTTGATCAGTACGTAGTTCATTGTCACTCAAATCGAAATCACTTTTGAATCGTTGAAACGAAAATTTACAGCTTGATCGCCATAAGTAACAAGCATTTCGTGAGCTTCAGTTGCCGATTTTTTTCAAATCAAACAGAAAAGGTAACGAATGTCGAAAATGCAATTTTGTACGATCCATTTTAGACACGTATATAAACAATGAAACTGTCAGTAACAATAGCGCGTAAACTGTCATATGTTATAGAGAAATGTCAAATCCTTCAGTGTCGCCAGGTTTCAATATTCGTACTAACCATAAACTTGTTACTAAAGCCACTTATCGCTGTAGTGACCGGAACCAATTCGATCTCCTAATAACTTAAAACTGGCGAGAAAATCCCTCGGATTTTCTTCGAATTCTACAGAAGGTTGCAGAATTCCTCAGAACTCCTCAGCACGTCCGAGAAGTTTCTCCGAAGTTTCGAGAACTGCTCAGAATTTTTCACTTCTTCCGTCTGAGATTTTCCGAGGGGAAACGCTGCGACTCCTGCGAAAAGTCGGAAAAATGTCTCGGAGAAAATCTCCGAGAAGATTCGATTTCCCGAGAGATTTCCTCAGAACGGAGCAACAGCGGCGCGTCCTTGCCTCTCTCGCAGGCCTCCCGTTATACATAACATCCATTTATTATTAATTCACACAACATAGCTACGTGGTATCGCGCGACGCGCACGGTTAAGCAGCCAGTCGTCTGAGCCTTTTTGCATTACTGTAAAATGGTTTCGTAATTGGCCAGGCGGTTGTTCAGTCGGAGCGATAATTCCACGAGCCGACAAGGCACCGTCGCGCGCGCTCGCGCACGCGGCGATCATCTACCTCGAGGAGCTGCAGGATCTACCGCGGTTTAATAACGGCACAATGATGCGTGTCAAGGATCCAGTCTGCGGTGCGTCGTGGGCGACGTGTTACGTGTTACGAGACCCTGAGGACGAGCCGTCGGTTCTCACCGCGCGTGCGGCAGGCACCGCGATGCGAGGGAGAGACGGAGCGAGTTTTTTTCCCGCCGACAATTTTCTATTGTCCGGGCCGGAGAAGTTGCGTAAAGACGTGACTTCCCGCCTGCGTTCGCCTGCGCGCTTCTCAGACAATCACTCGCGCGCGCGCGTAATTCATATCGGCGGCGTACTGACTGTTGCTGTTTTCAGGGGCCAGCAGCCGCTGAGCCGAAGGTGCGGACGCCTCCTCGTCGGCGACCCCAAGAGACGACTCCGAGAGGCCAGGCGAGGCGACTCGGAGGGAACGCGCCTCGGCTGCGCGCATCTTCGCGACGCGACGCGACGCGACGCATCGCGCCGCGGCCGTCGCGATCGTCGTGCTTAGATCGGATCGGTGTATTGGAATACGCGCGCTCTCTTTGCTCCCGGCGCCGCCACCTTCAGTCAGTACTGCGCCCGACATCGCGCCGCGCGGATCTATCGGTGTTGTTTTTTTTGTTTCTTTCTTTCAGGAGACCCGCCGCGCGGCTTATCTTAGCGGAAAGGTGCGCGATTTCTCTCGACTTCCCTCCCGACGTGCCTCTTGCTTTCCTCTCATTTATCCGGCGGATTATCGCACCGCGGGCTGCTTCGTCGCGAACCGAGTGGCAGCCGCTCGCCGTTGGGGCTTCTCGCCCTCGGTCGCGTCGGTCCTTCGATATCCTGCGAGGCCCAGCTCGGCAGAGTCGGCGGCGAACGCTTCGCAAACGTAAGTTGCGTGTCACCTCGAGGCCGGAGATTGAAAGCTTCCGTGTTTCCCGGCGCGTCGCGTCGCCGCGATTCGCTCGCAATTTGCTCGTAACGATGCAAGAACATGGCGAGTTTCTCGGAGAGACCAACCGGCGCGTCGCGTCGGCGCGGCGGTCGGAAAACGCTCCGGATTAGCTGCGCTGCTCGTACGTGCAGTGTCGTGTACATTACGACGCGCGTCGCGCGGAGTTAATAATATAATTTAGCAGTTCCTTTCAGCAAGCTCCGGAGACTGTACTGGACTAGAAAGTAATATCCGACCTCGATACACTTGAACCAATCTGTCCTTTGCTCGTGGGAAAATAGTCGCCGATCGCTGAGCGCTGAAGTATCGCGGTGATTGTTGCAGGATGCGTTTCTTTCTTTCTTTTTCAAAGGATCGTGAAATCCTCGCGAAAGAGTGCCTCCCGCCTCCCCCCTCTTGCCCACCATTCGGAGACAATTGTTCTCGAATCGTAACGTATCGCGTAATTGCGTGGGTATCGTGTGGGTCTGAATATATTCATACCAAAGTCTAAATTCGTATATTAATATATATTACACTTTATACAGGATGTTTGAGAGAAAAGGGTTTGAGAAAAAAGTGGTGCAATTCTGTAACTCGGTATTGGAGTTAACGACACCGTAGAAAAGCCGTGCAATAATAACGAAACTGTCGTTAATTCCAATAACGAGTTAAAGAATCGCACTACTGGACTTTAAGGACAGAAATGGAAACTCACGAAATGGAGGAAAAAAGTCCCGGTAAACGTTGATCGAGAAATCAATATTGTCGGATTTGCGAGCAATTGTTTATCTTAATTAAAACTGGTGACTTACTCATTTCTGATGCATGAAACCGTACATGAAATGCATTTCTGCCATTTCTTGGTTAAAGTAACGCGATGACATCGTTATCATTCGTTCTGCGAAAACTTCGTGACAGCTGTCCGCAGCTGTTCAATGTTCATGAGGATATGTGACTAACAATTGCTTGGTGAAACGTGTGTATAAGTGGGAAGAAAATAGATGCTTGTTTGCATTCCGAGCAAGAGCGGAAGGACTTTTCTTTAAGGATTCCTTCGGAGCATGCTATTCTCTTCACCGAGAAATGACATAGACGAAGTACACCACAGAATACAGAAACACGAGAAGCGAGTAAGTCACTTGCTTAAATTAAAATAAATAAAATTAAAATAACTAAAATTAAAATAAATAATCGTTCTCGGCGCTCCGACGATATATATTAATCTTTTGACCTTGGATGTCCATCAGGACTTTTTTTATCCCGTTTTGTGAGAACTGTTTGTCCTTCTAAAATTATATGTACAGTGCATCCGGGATCTTTTGGAAAAATTGTGAAGATTAATCGGGTCAAACTGAGAAGAAAAGTTATGTGCCATTTTGCAGAAATTACAATAATATTCTCTTCACCGAGGAATTACATAGATGAATTACACCAGAGAATACAATACCACCGGAAGCGAGTAAGTCACTTGCTTAAATTAAAATTAAAATAAATAATTAAAATTGAAATAAATAATTGTTCTCAGAACCCCGAGAATGTATATTAATTTTTTGACTTATGTTTGTTAGTTATTAAATTATTAATGATTGAAAATGACCATATCTAGAGGCTCTTTTAATTGATAACTTGAAAATTTGCGTGCTTATTTGCAAAATGATAAAGGACTTTTTTCTTCAGAAATAACCTAATTTGCAATTATGTGACGGATATTGTATTTAGCGATAGATATGAGTATATATTGAATTTTGAACCTTGAATTTCGAAATTGTCGCTAGGCAAAATAGTCGTCGTATAATTGTAGATGAGGTCATTCTGAACGAAAAAGTCTTTTACTATTTTGCATCTTACTATTTGCATTTACTATTTGCATAAATATGCAAATTTTCAAATTATCGATTAAAAGCTTCTAGTTGTGCTATCAATTAAGACCTTCTAAATGCGGCCATTTTCAATCATTAATAATTTAATAACTATTGCGATTTTTGCAAAATGATACATGACTTTTTTTCTCAGTTTAATCTTCACAATTTTTCGCTTCCAAAAGATCCCGAACACCCTGTATATATAATTCTCAATAACTAATAATATAATAACTATTGCGATTTTTGCAAAGTGGCGTACACGACTTTTCTTCTCAATTTGATCTGATTAATCTTCACAATTTTTCGTTTCCAAAAGATCCTGAACACCCTGTATATATAATTTTCATATTGTAAAATGGAAAAGATAGTTGAGAAGACTGTTAATTAATTAATTTTCAACATGTAAATTATACATGTACAAAGTATTGAAGAAAATCCAAAACTTTAAAGGCAGATAGTATTCACAAAATGGAGAAAAAAGTCCTGATAAACATCGGTCAAAAAATTAACATATGTTATCAGAGTTAGAAGAACAATTATTTATTTTAATTTAATTATTTCAATTTTAAATATATATTTTAATTTTAATTTAAGCAAGTGACTTACTTGTTCTGGTGTCTTTGTATATATATATATATATAATTTTTATTAATAAATAGATAAGTTGGTTACTTTTTCCAATTAATTAATTAGTGTGTATATATAATTTGTATATTACAATTATTAATTAATAATTTGTTCGGATGTCCTTTCAATTTCACAATATGAAAATGTACAGCATACGCATTTAGTTTCTCCTACTATCTTCAAACTTCCTTTAAATAACATGAATATACCCAAGCCGGAGAAGCTATTATCGTATCTTCCAAGTGAACGTCGATAGCTCTCAGAAAAATTCTCTCCGTGTAGACAGTTTACGCAGAAGAACGTGAAGAAAGTCGTAATTGATTCATGCATTCTAATCTGTCGCCTATTGTCGGTATTCTTCCTGAATAAGATCTAACGCGAAGCTAATCGCAGATAACACTTACGTAAGAATTCCAACAATAATGCGGCGTCTTCTATACGAGACGATAGATGCAATCCGTTACGCCAATTATCGGCAAAGTGACATTTATATTACATCGGACAAATGCATACTTTTACCGCGTTAAACCTCCATCGCGTGCCAAGGCGTTCTTCGCCGATTCCGCCGGTCATCAGTTTTTCTACATATTCTAATTATATATATTTACGCGAGCGCGAGGCGTATCGCGCGGCTGAGCGAAACGCGCCCGGCTAACCGGAAATGATAATCCGATCGTAGAATATCCCAGCGTGACGTATCGACAGGAATGCTCACTTTTGTCGCGGTAATTCGTTCGTTCCGATTGCGAGGTACTCGATGCTTTTTACGATACAATCTCGACCGTCGACGGCCGATGGCTGATTTTTGCAATGCAAACAGCTGGAGCGTGCCGATAACATTGTGGAAACGATAAACGCGGCATACCGTTTCACGTAAGCGCTATTCTTCTGCTGCGATTGCCGCATAACCGCGAGCCGCTTATTCGATTGTTTCGGCGAGCGATTGCGAGACCGCGGCCGTGCGACATTTCTTCGATCTTTACCGTTCGCGGGGGGTTGCATAGCGGCAGGCGCTTCGCGCTTTGGAAGAGGCGGCGTGCAGGCGGTCGAAAATCGTGAAAACCTGGCCAAAAATCAATTTTTTTCATTCGTTTAACTCTGAGTCGATTGTCAAGTGAGTGGTCGAGTTCTCACAAAAATCATGATTCTATATGTTTTTAGAATTCGAATTCGTAGAATTCGAATCTGCCATCAGAATTCGAAAAAATGCGATCCAAGATGGAAGACGCAATATGGCGGCTTGAAAGGATATTTAGTTGACGAATCCGTACAAAAATTATTATTTTTCATATTTTTGGAGTCGCTGAGTTCTAAATCATTTGATACTTCGACAGATTCCAGAAATTGCTCGTATGAAAACAATAGTATTTTATCCAAGAATTTTCATTTAGGAATTATTATCAGTAGAACCTTGTAAGATACGAAGACGAATATTATGATAAATATACAACACATATACAGAAATAAGACTGCCAATGTTGGATGGGTCAATGTCGGATTTATATTGCAACACAATCGTCTGAAATCATAAAAATTGTGTGTGAAGTGAGCATATTTCCAAAAAAAATACAATGCTTACTACATACGGATGATTGTTACTTAGGAATAAATATAAATACTTATTTCACTGAGAAGATTGAATTCCTAGGTCAAATCTAATGGGAAATTCATGTTTAGCACATCCAAATTTATGTATATAGAAACATGTGTCGCTTCCTTTGCAAAAGAAAAATTATCATTTGTCGGAATAATAATAAATTATTTATAGCAAAAAAATGATAACTTTTTTTATATTTTCCTTGTTTTTATTAAATTTGTTATATCTATTATCTATCAGAAAGCTTTCACGTAAAAATAGCTGCGTCCTTCCTTCTGATATGCTTAAACTCTTAAATTTTTAAGTTCGATATGAATGCTTTAAGATTTGAAATATTCTTCCATCAACTCAATCTAGCACGTTTAACAACTAGCGTATCTATGTCGTTGATGAATTTTTGTTTTTCCTTTAAATTTATTCTCTGTCAAAATAAGATATTAAAATATGCGCGTGTATGTGATATTTAAGATAATATTTAAAAAAATTGATATATTAATATATTTATGTTTCACCGAGCGGATAATGTACCTCATTTTATCTTTATACGTTATTGTTTTTACAAAAATGTCGGTGATCCTTAAATTTCGAAAAATATGAGCTAAGGACAGAAATATTGGCAATAATATTTATCCTCACGCGACATTTAATTATAAAAAATGATTTAAGTCGCTATCTTCAACAGTTGAAGAATAATTAACACGTACCGCTTTAAAAATCCCACTTTGTATATCTTTTTATATCAGTAATGATCCTCCTGGATAACAAATGTCATTTGCATCGTATTTGCATCGTATGCGATTTATCGTTACCAACGATATTAATTTTTGCCACAAAATCGGACGTTTAGACCACTGTGCGGCGTATTGCTGCTCGCGTTACACGAAGAAATTCCTTCGATGTTTCATCGCGAGCAAATGAAGCCCCCTTCCTCCGCTCTCATAACAATAATCCTCGGTTGTGTCGGAGCTCCTTTATCTTTCCACCTCTCGTATCGCTACGAGTGACAAACTCGTCCAGAGCAAGCGTCGCCATTCGAGTCGCTTTTGCATATGTCTTTTGCACGCATCGCCTTCGCGGCGATGGAAGTTCGCTGGCGGTACAAGGACTCAGCATTCGCGTTACTTACGAGGAAGGGCCATGAGCATCCTTCAAACGATTCTTCGTACGTTCGTAACCTTCCGTTCGTCGCGCGCGTGGGACCTTGAACGGAGAACGTGCTTATCCAGCATTAACGACACAGCGAGCGATTTTCGCGATCATAGAGAATAACAAAAAACGAGAGAGACAGAGACAGAGAGACAGAGAGAGAGAGAGAGAGAGAGAGACGAATTGCAGAAGGGGAACGCCGCGTTCGACCTACGCGTCTTTCGCTTCGCGAAAAGTCGCCGGGAAATCCGTGCGTTTCTTCGCGGAGGTCGTCGAAAGGACTCCACAAGGATTCATCGATCTGAAATACCTGGAATATCGAGCGAGCTTGCGGACTCGCGCAGCGGCTACCGCGACGAAGCGGTCAAGATGCGAGACGGTGATCCGCCCGATACAGAGCCGAGATGCGCAGAAAAAGGATATTCAGGATATTCGCACATCCGCGTTTGGAGACACGCTGAATGAAGCCATTAATTACCCGCGACGTTGACGTTTCGTTTGCATGATTCGCAAGGCCCATTCGCGAGCGGCCATTATTTTCCTCGGAGACATTTTCGTCGAGCCGCAATTCTCATTTTCGATCCGGTTAGGAAAACCAAGAGGGGGGGGGGGGGCAATGGTTAGTATTCGCCTATTTCCGTGGCGAGGTCCGCCCCGATGCGCGAGTTATGCAATTAGGACGATAATGATCTTCTCTCTCTCTCTCTTTCTCTCTCTCTTTCTTCGCGACGCGTCAACAGCCGGCAATTTGCGCGCTAATTATGGTACTCGGAGATGCGGGGTCGACGGGGGGGGGGGGGAAATTAATGAGTGATCTCGCATGTTCGCGCTCGCGCTCGGCGGCGACGAAAACACGAAAGATCATCATTGTTCGTCCTGCGAGAGCGGCGAAATCGGATGATTAGCATAGCGTTGCCGATCGCGTGTCGTTCCGTTATTAACGCTCGACGATGACGACTCCCATCCTCGCGACGACGCAGTTGATCCGTCCAGCGGGCATAAATATTTGTACGCGCGGCCACGCGTTCTCCCACGGCGGCGCGGCGCGGACGCCTGGCGAATTTCATTCCGCGAGCGGAAGCTGACGCGCCTCGCGGCCGCGCAGGATGTATCGCGAAACCGTTATGTAAAACCCGTGACACTCGTATCGACGCGACGCGACGTTTTGTGCCACGGCCGTCGGATCTCTCTGTGCACGGCCGGCCAAATTAATAGGTCGGAGAGGAAGATAAGGATAGAGAGGCGGGGCGGGGGGGGGAGCGTCTCATCGCGTCGCGATCGATTTGAATTCGAAATCGCGCGGACGGCCGGCCTCGCCGATGAGAATTCCGTCACTCACATCGAAAGGATTTTCCATTTTGTATCCGCAGGATATCACAGACGCGGAGGATGAAGCACTGAGACGAGCGCGAGCGACGGAAATGTGCACGACACCGGCCGTGAAGGATCTCGAGACCGATTAATAACTCGCGGACCTACGGCGGCGCGTCAAGATGCTGGCGCTCAAGAGCTTCTTCGGGAGGATCAGCAAGGACTTCCGGCAGAAGGAGCTGATGCCTCTGAAGCTGATATTCTTCGTGCAGGCCTCCAGTGAGTAATTCCCATTGACTCCCGAATATACAGGATGTGTATTCGGATGTAACTCAAAATAGGATCCAGGACTCTAAGGGCAGATAGCACTCACAAGATGGAGGAAGAAAGTCCTGATAAACAAATCGCGACCACAAGCAAGCGACCCACTCGCTCCTGGTGTTTACAAAGTTTACAGATTTTCCACATATCCTCTTTCTATTTCTACACACACTTTATATTTTCGTAGGACAGAAATGCAAACCCTTAAAAAATATTCCGGTTTTATTCTAACTAAGTTTTAGTCTTCTTTTTCAGCCTTCTAATGTAATTGTTTTAAATCGAAAATTTTCCCATTTTCCCACCATTTTATGCTCTTGTAAGGTTGATATTAGACTTTCTAAGACGCCATTCATTATGATTCGTTGGTGTGCATGACCCTTCGCACCTCACCAAATACACGAAAGGACCTTTTCGCTGTCGCTGTGAATATTTGGTTTCGCCGCTACGACGTAAAAGACTGTCCGGGGTCTAGCCGCGAATGTCTGCGTTTAGGATTGTCACACATAATCCAATTTTCGCCAGTAACAATTTTCGACACAACATCTTTTTTGCATTATCCGGAGAACAATGAAATGCGCGTACTCAACCGGCGGATAATGCTGTTTCGCGACAATTCATGCGGCACTTATTTTCCGAGTTTCTGAATTTTCCCCAATTTATGCAGTAGCCTTGAAACTGTTGCTTGTTCAACTCCGAACTATCCTGCAAGTTTTATTTGCGTTTGAGTCGAGTTTTCATTCAACAACACTTCCAAATTGATCTGATCAAGCTTTCGTGGCGTTCCAGAGCGCGTTCAAAATCATCGTCTTTAGAGCGACGAAAGCAATATTTGCGCGTATTGTGGGATACAATATTTTCCCCAAGAACAGAACAAAAGGATTTGCACGCTTTAGCAGCATTTCTTCCTTGCTGGAATTAATATCGAATGCAATGTCGAATATAAAGTTTCTCGTCGTTCACTGTATCAACTATTATTTTTAAGGTTATGTGCGCCAATGAATCATAATGTATATGAATGACGTTTTAGAAGGGTCAATATCAGGCCTGGTCTACAATATGTGTTGTAAGCTGTAAGCCGTAAGAACTGACCAATTATAGCCGATTATTTTTGTAATAATCGACTGTGATTCGCCAATTCTTACGGCTTACAACTTACGATACGTATTGTAGATCAGGCCTCAATCTTACAAAAACACAAAACGGTGGGAAAATATTTCAATTTAAAATAATTATATTAGGGACGGAAGGAAAGATTAAAACTATTTTGCATGCACCTAATAATTCGTTTGTCATTTATCGGAGTACATCATATTCTTGAGAATTCCCCACAAAAATGTCCAGATTTAAATCAGGAGACTGATCCACCCAGTCCAATCCATTTTTCACCGAAGGAGCTACTCTAATTTCGAATCTAATAAAAAAAGAGTTCTATACTTTGCGTACTACCTGCCCTTAAAATTCAGAACTTTTTTGACACCCTGTATAAAATTTATTGTATGAAATGTATTATATTTTGTACGAAATATATTAAATCTTATGTAAAATATATAAAGTACACAAAATACGTTCATCAAAATATAATAAAAAAAGAGTTCTATATTTTGTGTACTACCTGCCCTTAAAATTCAGAACTTTTTTTTGACACCCTGTATAAAATATATTATATAAAATGTATTATATTTTGTACGAAATATATTAAATTTTATATAAAATATATAAAGTACACAAAATACACTCGTCAAAATATAATAAAAAAGGAGTTCTGTATTCAATTTACGCCCTTTACGCCCTTAAAATTCAGAACTTTTTTTTTTACACCCTGTATATAAAATATATTATATAAAATGTATTTTCTACAAAATATATTAAATTTTACATAAAATATATAAAGTACACAAAATGCCCCGTGTCGTCGCTGGTCACGGAGGACGTTCCTTCTCGTTCCCCCCCCCCCCTCCTCGTCACCACGATGCAATAACGAAAATAAATTCCATGGTCTCGCTGTAGCGCTCTACGTGTTGTATCCGTACCTGACTATACACATGAGAGAGCTGGGAATCAACGTGGAGGAGACGGCGATAATGAGTGCCATCACTCCGCTCATGGCGATGGTGATGCCGCCGCTTGCCGGTATGCTGGCCGATCGGATAGGGAACTTCAGGGTAAGTGATTTCCCGAAGTAATTGACTTTCGCAATGCGCCGCGGTCGTGTAATGCGAGGGTTGACTTTCCTCGGCCGCGCGCGCGCGCGGCGCGGCGTTGCGCAAAAACTTCTCTCTCGCCGTTTCTTCTCCTCGTTCTTTTACTCTCCAGCCGAGACGAGTTGCGCGTTTAACCTTTCCGAGGCTGCGGACTTGCCGATGCGCGTATTATATGCGTGTCTGATGAATTTCTTCGCTTTACGCGCGAGCGGCTGCAACAGTCGACTGTATTGCGACGCGCATTTGTCTTTCTGGGGTGTTTCTCGTCGGCAAAATGGCGCCCCGAAAGTGACCTGCGAACCTCCTGATGATTTTCGGGTCACACTCTTGGCAAAAGCCGCTTTTATCGGCAAAAAGCAGTTCAGAACACTGCTGTTTGCCTGCTTCTTTATCTTGGGTCCATTACTTTTTCCGAACATTTCCGAACGTCAGAACTTTGGTCTTCTTTCACAATTTTCAAAATGGAGGCAAACTGCGCAAGCAAGCAAGTACTCCGTCCTCAGCGATCAATCGCGGAGCTTCTCCTCTAGCGTGAAGAGTGAGGTAATTTCGAAGCGAATTGAATTTCTCTGAACCAAATCCCGAGCTGAAGACTCGTTCCAACTCGAAAGCATTTCTAGAAACGCTCGTTTTTTGCGAAATCGCACTGGAAAAAAAAAATTATGATCGCTCGCTCCGCGTTCAGAGAATTAACCCCTTAACAAGTTTTATGTTATCACAATGTATACTCTGATAGCATAGATGCCCAGAGGACGTCCCCAGGAGAATATCAGAGTAAACACGCTCACGCGATAAACGCGGGCAATAAAAAATAATTTCAAGAAAGTCATAATTGTATAAAAGAAGAATTATACTATTTCGGTATTTGCAAAATTTAACCTAATTTCTAGTGACTTTTGTAACCTTTCCTAAGGTTAAAATATCCATTATATATAATAGCCATTATTTGCATACACCCATAAATAATTTTCGATAAATAATTTTCGTCGTATTTTTATCGTATTATTGTATTATATTCTATCTGTAATCTTTTTTTCTTGTTATCCTTAGAATCATCATAATTATTGTGTCTCCATTTTACGTACAATTTTTAATGATTTTAGCCATTCGTAGGCTAAAATATCGTGATTATTTACGTAAATCCATATCGATAAATAATTTTTATGTTTATTGTATTTTTATTGTATTATTACATTATTTTATTGTATTCCTTTACAATTTTTTTGTTATCCTTAAAACTATTATAGTTATTATATCTATATTTCAACGTACAATAACTCGAAGAGATAAAATGAATGTTTTTGAGTGGATATTTTATCTTTTGTCCTTATATATATATATATATATATATATATATATAAGTATATACAGGGTGTCCGGGAAACGAGAAATTGTGAAGATTAATGAGATCAAGCTGAGAAGAAAAGTCAAGTATCATTTTGCAAAAATCATAATAGTTAGTAATCATAAAAATCATAATAGTTATTAATGATTCGAAATAACCGCATCTAGAGAGGGTCGTTTGAATAATAACTTAAAAATTTGCTTACTTATTTGCAAAACGGTAAAGGACTTTTTTGTTCAGAATGATCTAATCTACAATTATACAACGGCTATTATGCTTAGCGACAGGTTCAAGATTTAGGATTCAAGGTTTAATTCACTCATGTCTATCGCTGGGCACAATAGCCGTCATACAATTGTAGGTTAGGTCATTCTGAACAAAAAAGTTCATTACCACTTTGCAAATATGTACGCATATTTTCAAGTTATTAATTAAAAAAGCTTCCCGATGTGGTCATTTTCAATCATGGTAATGGCAAAATGGTATATGACTTTTCTCCTCAGTTTAATCTCCACAATTTTTCGTTTCCAAAAGATCCCGAGCACCCAGTATATATATTATACAAAAATATATATTTCCATGGAAAAAAAGGAAAAACTGTCTTTCCGACGATTTAAAAAGAAAAACGCTCATTATGGGGTTAATCTAAGGTTGCCAGATGGCCGGGGATGTCCCGGAATTTTAAAGTTTGTCCAATGCCCAGGAATTTAAGTCTTCTGTCCCGGAAAGTCAGAATTTCAACAAAATCATAATCATAACATTCATGTTTCTAACTGGTACCAGAGAGAAACCTGAGAGATTTTGTAGGCTCGTAGGTCACCGCGATTTATAGGGTCGAATTTCTCGACGTGCCACACAAAAGAATTGATGTCAACTAAGCCATTCGCGTGGTACAAGATACAATCGCACGTTTTATGTCCAAACTTCTCTCTGCTGGTACCTAATTCACGCATTTGTACGTTGTGAGTGTACAACGGCATTTCTTAGCCCTCTCGTCTTACTCCTCTATCTCTCCAATTTAAGTAAAATTCTTTAACAATTTATTTTTCAATCGTCGCCTAAAAAATGTCCCGGAAATAGTCATTTCACATCAGGCAAACCTAATCACGCATTTGCTTATTAATGAGATTTCCCTGGCAAACTCTTCTCCCCGCAGATCTTGCTGGCGGTGTTCTCCGCGTTCGGCGGTTTGGCGGCGTTATTGCTGCTGTTAGTGCCGGTCGGCAGGGTGACGGTTTATTTCCCCGAGAGGATAGTTATGGATCTCGGTTGTCTGGAGGCTGGAGGAGACGGCCCGTTAGTCTACACAATGAGCCAGGCTCATCCGTGCGAGGCAAAATTAGAATCGGAGATCACGGTGACGGTAGAAAGTTGCGGGTGAGTAAAAAGCCGAATTGCGCGTCGGTAGCGCGAACGGAATAACGGAACGAGCAGAGAGAGAGAGAGAGAGAGAGAGAGAGAGAGAGAGAGAGAGAGAGAGAGAGAGAGAGAGAGAGTGAATGGTGTTGAACAAACCTCCCTCTATCTTGCTCCATGCTGTAAAAATCTTGCTCCGTTGCGTTGAAATTCCGGACGAGAGATACGTCTCGCTCGTTTATTCGCGTCATCGTTAATTTCAATGACAACGCACGTGAGACGCAGCGTGTCGATGAAGACACGGTTATCGCGAACGGTAATTTCGGGCAATCGCGACAGAAAGCTTTAACCCGCGCGCGCACACACACACGCACACGCATACGCACACGCAACACGCAACATGCACACGCACACACACATACACAGACACATGTGCGTGTGCACAAGCACGTTTCGTCTTCCTGTTTGTTTCAGCTTCTGCGCGAGATCCGTTAACGGCGAACTGGAATCTCTCGTTATTTCGCTAGGACGAGACACTTCAATGACGGAAGATTGAAGCGCAAGCATATGAAATCGCGACTTGCGCGTTTCCCGTTTGCGATCCTGAACTCGTTTCGTGGCGAGGAGTATTAATAATCGTTGCTTCAAACTGCTCTTACAAATCAGATGCTCGAAAATTAATTGGTAGAAAAAGAAGATATAATAAAACATTGGGCTTTCTGTTTTTAAAAATTAAGTTGACCTTCAACTGACCTTGAAAATGCCCTCCAGATGAAAAACTGATAATGCCATTCTGTTTCCCCTTCGAAATCATGGGACACGTGTTTTAGCTTTTTCAAATATCTTTCATAGTTTTTGAGATTTTTTACCTGTTACGTTTGAAATTTAGCACCCTGTATAATATGTAATAAATATGGCCCGCCGATAAAAACGCTGGCCCACTTGTAGCCCACCCGCATGAATAGTTCTGGCGCCGCCTATGGGTATGAGTGATTTTTTCACTACGCAGATTCGTGTGTCACGTGGACGCGGACAACGAGACGGAGCGGGACTTGATTCTGAAATCGAGAATTTACACGCTCAGGCATTACAATGTCCGGACTGGCGCCAATACTACGTACAAGTACACCATTGCACAGAACGACCTGCCAACGGTACGTCGCACGTTTGCGCGCTACGTATATGTTAATCAGAGTTGATGGAAAAAAACATGCTTAAAATAAAAAAGAAACGAAACATCACGTTTTTCGTTTAAAACTTCGTGCCTTCGTGCCTTAAATGTGTTTTAAACAAGCGCGGAAAGGAACATGTTTCAAACATACTTTAAACATATGTGCATTTGATTTTTAGTATAGTTTGAACACTCGACTCTTGATGCGCCTTGGACCGTAGTCGGTGATAAACAATAAGAAAACTTTCTAAATCGTTTCATTTAAATAAACTATGAAATATATACAGGGAGTCCGGGATCTTTTGGAAACAAAAAATTGTGAAGATTAATCAGATGAAACTAAGAAGAAAAGTCAAATATCATTTTTCAAAAGTCGCAGTAGTTGAGTCATTAATGATTGAAAATGACCATATCTAGAGGCTTTCTTAATTGTTAATTTGAAGATTTGAGTACTTTTTTGCAAAATAGTAAAGAACTTTTTTTGTTCAGAATGACCTAATCTGCAATTATATGACGGCTGTTGTGTCTAGCGACAGGTTCAAGATTCGGGGTTCAAAGCTCAATATACTCATATCTATAGCTGACTTGGATTTTTCTTATTTTGAATTTCCTTCTCAGTTTGACCTGATTATATTATTATTATTATAATTCCATTTTTTAATAATTTTACAATAATATATACATTTATGCGTAATATTGTAATGTGCCAGAGAATATGAAAAAATAGATATTTTGTGAAAAGATAAAAGATCTATCACCAATAATTTTACGTTCATGATTTATATCAAACACCTAACAAAAATATGTTTAAAGGAAACATATGTTTAAAATTATGGAATGTTTAAAACATGTATGACTTTTCTTATTTATAACTTTTGTTTTACATATGTTTTAAACATACATTTCTTTTTAAACACGTTCTAAATATATGTTTAAAGACACATATGTTTAAAATATGTTTTTTCTTAAGTATTTAATATTTGGGTGTAAAATTATTGGTGATATAAATTTTATCTTAATATTTATTATATATACACGTATAGATATTATTTACTTAATAATTCACATTTTGCTTACATATATTTCGTAGTTTATTTAAATGAAATGATTTAAAAACTTTTTTCGACGTAGTTCGGAACATAGTCGGTGGTTCAATAAAATAAATTATCTTTTGCGAAATTTTCCAGAAATAAAGTTTTTTTTATTAAACCATTGATTACGTTCCAAACTGTACTAAAGATTAAATATATTTAATCCAAACTGTACTAAAGATTAAATATATTTAAATGTTTAAAATATATTAAAAAACAATTCGGACTGTCCCATTTTTTGAAAATGAAAACCAAATTTTTAGGAAAAACAAGACGGGAAAAATAGAAATTTCAAATTTGAGATGAAAACATAAAAACAGTTTTAAATAAAAAAATATGATGTTTTGTTTTTTTATTTTAAACAAGTTTTTTACCAATCCTGTTCAATGCGCGTAAGAGAACACGCGATGCATTATTTCCTGTGACATCATGTCGCTAATGAACATATCGTCGTATTGTAATCATTCGCAGGATGTCAGCCAGCAAGACATGAAGGAACATCGGCGATTGAAGAACAACGAGTTCTTCAAGACTTCCATCCGGCAGGTGTCGAAGAGCAGTTACTTCTTCCCGACGGATCAGCTCTATCAGTTCTCGTGTATCCCTCCGGGACACGCCGGAAACGATGATAACGTCGCGACCTCCTGCACGTTAGGTCAGCTGACTAAGCCGAAGGTATGAGAGTTCGCGACATAGCAATGCAACAACAACATGCGATTCGTGTATCATGTCGGAATATAAAAACACAGATATAGAGATGTAGAGATATACAGAGTGTATGAAAAGTATCGGGACGGAGAAATATCTCGAAAACTAAGCATTTTAGAAAAAACATGTTTCAGATAAAAGTTATATTTTAAGGGGGACAAAAAGCAACTGTATCACTTTGTTTACTGATGGCGCCACTTTCGAGATATTCACCGTTCATTACTTTTCGTAAACGGAAACCCCAATTTTTAATTACATCATCTTTTTCTGCCAATTAATTTAAACAACTTTTGTCTGAAATATTTTTTTACTTGTCTAATATTTTTTGAGATATTCAAGGAAAACTTGATGACTTTTTTAATATTTAACTTATCTCGCTAACTATTTGTTGGAAGAAAAAACAGTACTAGACTTTTTCACTCTGTTTGGCCTCAAAAATATATTGTTACAATAGTACCCTAACTTTTGTTAACTTATCGATCTTTGAAAATTTTAAAGTCATCAAATCAATAGGAAATTTTTCGGAAATTTTATCTTGGATCTCGATCAAAATTTTTAGTAAGGGAATTTCTATCACGATCTTGGCAATAATTAGGACGATGCTCTTTCTCTTCATGCTCCTATTGGCAATTACTTTATCAATTTCTGGTTACATACTACAATGGTTGCAAGTATTTGTAGAATGATATAATTTTTATCGTTTTTCAGCCGTATAATGCCGAAACCCAAGCGCGGTATGAATGATAATATTATAGAAGAGAATTTATATTATAGAAGAAAATTTCTCTCTATTGAAAGTTTAGATGAAAATGTTGAATGTCCAAATATCAGAAGAGAAAAAACTTGTTGGACAGATCCATAAATCTGCTAAATATTCTAATGAATCTAAAGCATAAACTTGACTATTGTATATTTCTTAAAGCTGCAATTTGTTTAATTATGTTGTTATGTTGAGTTATTTGTGATTTCTAATTTTTTTCAAAGTAGAATTTGTGTTAGTTAAGGTATGTATTTTTACACCACTATCTTATTTAAAGTACAATACATAATATATAACAGATTTATTTATTTGATTTTCTTAATTCTTAATACATTCTGTTTTTCTGTTAAATGTCTGTAAGACACACTTTTAAGTAAAAATTTGGAAATGTACTAGTTAAAAAATATGGGGATTCTGTTCAAATTTCCAACATTGTCGGGGTATTTACGTTGAAACCGAACCGGAGATACGTGATTTTCATTACAATTTGTAATCATTTTCATTATAATGTACGCGACGATACTTCACAGAGTGTCTGACGATAACGTAGAAATCTCTCATTGTACGTGCAGATTAAATGGAACTGTCTAAAAGAATCCTCCACCATTTTGCGAGCAACCACGTAGAATTCCGAGTTATCAATTGAGGACAATTATTGAATAATCACGCGCGATGAGATAGCCGTGAACTGCGAAAGCCATTCCTGCTGTCGTATGCTTGCATTAGTTAGATTAAGTTAAACTGGACAAAAATGTCCTGTACCGGACAACCACATAGATGTATTAATTTTTCGACCCGTGCTTATTATGGGGCTTTTTTCATCCATTTTGTGAGCTTTGACCTTTTTTTTTAAACATCCTATATAGAAGCGATAAAATTGGTTTTTTGTATCTCCAAAGCACTTTATGGCCATTTATGATACGAAAACGCTGCGCCTTAATCGCGATATAATTGAAAGGAACGATCCATTTCGAAAGAGAAATCGAGTAGAAAAATTAATAGGGTTCTGGTAAGGGCCTGATTATTTTTCCCAAACATTAATCGAGTCTTAGTAGGGACGGAAAGACAAGAACCCTACAAGATGTATAACAAATGGTTTAACGGATCCTTATAAAGTAATATTATGAGGGCCTTATAAAGTAATATCAACAGGACCTTATAAAGCAATATTAACAGGGCTTTATAAGGAAATATTTTTATTATTGCTCGAGTAAAAATATTCATTTCACTCGGGAATCTAACGTACACTTTGTATCGTTTTCCAGAGTAGTGGCAATCGAACGGTAAATTACCACTTGTACAAGTCGAAGATGAAAGGTCTGCAATTGGACGAGGCGGACCGGCGAGAGAAGCGGCAGCGGTTCCTGGCGGACGAGGTGTCCTGGTCAGGGGAAGATTTTCGCAAGCTTACCTGCGGCGTCCCGGATTCCGCGGACACTCGAGTCGTGATAGACACGCGGCTCGGCGATCACAGTGTCCGGGGGGATCCGCAGGACAAGCGAGTCCTGAGCACGAACGAGTGCCAGAAAAGATGCATAGTTACTGTACCTCGCGACGCGATGTGCTCAAATATGAGCACGGAGATCGAATACAATGTAAGCTTGACGTTCTGGCTTTACCTCGTCATTAGAGTATTCATAGGTCAGTACATGATTCGTTTCAACGTCCCGCGAACACGTCCCGCTCGAGATAAAGATCTCTCTCTCTCTCTCTCTCTCTCTCTCTCTCTCTCTCTCTCTCTCTCTCTCTCTCTCTCTCTCTCTCTCTCCCTCTCTCTCTCTGATTGAGCTTACCTTGACTCTCGCGCGGCGCATTTTTTCCATCACTGAGTGAGCGTCGCAGCGCCGTTAAAAGCCGGCTTCCTCTCGCCGCTCGTTTCAGGTATTATCGGCGGCACGACCTTCGCGATGTTCGAGGGCGCCGTGATAGCGATACTGCGCGAGCAAGAAGCGGATTACGGCCTCCAGAGGATCTACGGCAGCATAGGCGGAATGATTTCCTCGCCCTTGTCGGGCCTTCTCATAGACTACGCCAGCAGGGACAAGGGCTACACGGATTTCAGGTAACTCGAGACTACCCGCGACGTAACCACCTGCGGTGGTTTCTTACGCTGCAGTAGCATAAGCTCCGCTCGAACTCTCTCGGCGAATCTCCCCCTTCCAGGCCGGCGTTCTACTTGTATGCGGCATTGAAACTCGCGTCAGGTTTCCTCATGCTGCTGATCAATTTGGAATTCAAGGCGCCGGCCACGGACGTCGTGCGCGACGTCTTCATCGTGCTGCGAAACATCGAGACCGCCGCGCTTTTCCTCGCTTGCTTCGTTCTCGGTGAGTGAGAAGGTTCGTCCTCTGAATAGCTGCAACTATGTAGTCACCAAGGTTAGCAAAAAACGTATTTAAAAAGGAACATATTTAAAATTTAAAAGGAACGTGTTTAAAATAAGAAGGAAACATGCATGTTTCTTTTGCTGGAAACTGTTTTTTATGTTTTAAACATGTTTTAAATGAAAGTAAAAAAATATGTTTAACACTGGAACATTAGAACACTAGACCGGATTTGACGACTCCCATAGAAGGACCGTAAGAGCCAATTGGCTCCAAGCATATCTTTTCATAAATAACAAATAGAAAGAAACGAAACGTATAGATAATTATAAAATTTAACGTTTTAACAATAATATTACTAATTTATTGAACGAAAAAACTGTTAGTTATATTACGTATATTGAATTTTTTTAGTCTTTGCTACGTTTTGAAAAACGTGAAATACAAAACGCCGTTATGTATAATACTACAGGAAACGTATTTGTACTCGTACATAATTTTCTTTGTACATTTACCGCACACAAATTTTTTACGCGAACATTTTCCAACTTTGTGATTTTTTTGCAGTTTTTCTTTTTTTATTTGACATGGTCATTTGCCTGATGCATCGTCGGATTCAGTTTCTTCTCCGGTTGATTCAAAATTTTGAGACTTTCGTTTTTGGGCAACATATGGGGCACTTAATTCTTCCACGAGATTTTATAAAAAAATTCTTCTTGATATTCTTACACATAACTTGTATATAATTCATGCACTTATAACAGCAAAATCCATAATATTATAAAAAGTATGAACTGGCAACGGTGAGATGCTGTATATGCATACTATGTGTACATATACAATTATAAATATGTATGTATATAATTGTTTTCCAAGCGAACAAATAGATAGATACACATAAAAATATTTATTTATCTATTTAAAGTCTTAAAACTTGTAAATAAACCCGTAAAACGTATGAGAATGCAATATCAGATATAAGGGAGCCAAATTGGCTCCAACGGTCCTTCTAGGTAGATAATTAAATAAAAATTCAACCATCTTATATAATTGAAAAGGTTTTTTATCAAAATGAAGAACATGACAAATGATGAAAAGTCACGAAAGGATATAACACGGAGGCAAAGTTGAAAAAAGTTATAGCGGTTTGATTTTCGCGAGGAGCCAAATTGGCTGCCTCGGTCTTTAAAGTGTTAAAACATACATGTATTTGATTTTTAATGCAGTTTGAACACTTGATTTTTAATACTTGACTTTTAATTGGTATGGAATATAATCAACAGCGAGAAGATTTCTGAGAATCCATGAAAGATTATTTATTTTATCGAGCCACCGACTGCATCGAAAAGAAGTTTCTAAATTATTCCGTTTGAATAAACTATGGAATATATACGGGATGTTAACAAAGTATACAAATAAACCTTGAAAGGTAATAGAAGATACGTAAATAAGCAATGTGAGATAGGAAACTAATAATCGGAAACGCATTACGTATGAGATATAAGATGCTGAAGGAAAATACCGTTATTATGCAATTACACTTTACCAACGTACCTTTTTATGCACGCAGAAGAAACGCAATCAATTTCAACTGAATGCAGCAGTATCAGCACATAATTAGCTAAATATGTTTAAATCTTGTAAAGAACGGGAAGATGTTTTCGGTCAATGGAAATGTATGTTTAAGATGTGATCTTTCTACGTTGTTACATGGTTTAATTTTCTGTGCTTTTTACGTCTTGAAATTATTGAATTATTACTTCGTTTATTGAAAATTGAGTGCACCTCTTCGTTATTATTACGTACGTAAAAACGTGCATCAATAAAGCGCAATTGTATAGTAACGGTATAGTTGTATAGTAACGGTATTTTTCTTCAACATCTTATGTCTCGTATATAATGCGTTTCCGGTCATTAGTTTCCTATCTCGTGTTGTTTACTTTCGATTACCTTTCAAGGTTTGTCGGCATACCTTTATTTGATACCCTGTATAAACAAAATATGAATTATTAAGTAAATATATGTAGAGAGGGGGAAAGAAAATCGGACTCCTAAATAACTTTGAAAATGTGCGAGATGGAAAAAAATGTCAAATACAGAAGTTGTAGGGTTTCAACTGACGCATCACATAGCAATATTAGTGTGATCTTGAACAGCATCATCAAGGTTACGGGACGGTCACGTTGAATTTCTTAAACGGAAACTCTCATATTTTATTATGTTATCTTTTTCTTAATATTTTATTATGCGAACAATATATTTGAGACCAAGCAGAGTAAAAAAATCCAAGTCAAAATTTTTCCTCTGACAAATAGTTACCGAGATATCGTAAGCCGAATGTTGAAAAAGTTGTTTCCAAATATCCCAAGAAATATTGAGCAATAATAATAAATAAAAGAATGTTTCAGACAAAAGTTGTTCAAAATAATCGGTAGAAAGAAATGATATAACAAAAGTGGGAGTTTCCGTTTAAAAAATTCAAGGCCTTCCCGTGACTTTGATAACGCTGTTCAAGGTCATACTAGTATTATCATATGGTACATCTCATTCAAGACCCTACGAAAAGGAGAAAACATGTTTAAAAAAACTTTTTGATTTGTTTAAAACTTTTGTTTTAAACATGTCAACCCTGGTAATGATCGAGCGAGGTAAGGGAAACGCTCGGGTCGTCCGGTGATCGGCGCGCGCTTAGACGAGTAACCCAAACGAACTCATGATCGCGCGGGAAAATGTGATAAAAGAGGAAGGTCTCGGCAGGCACCGCCTGGGGCTACATCGAGTCGTTCCTCTTCTGGCTGATCCAGGATTTAGGAGGGTCTAGGTCGCTCATGGGCATCACCATCACTGTCGGCGGAGTCGCTGGTATCCCACTGCTGGCGCTCTCCGGGCCGATAATTTCGAAGATCGGCCACGCGAATGTGCTGTTCATCGGCTTCGTGTTCTACGCCATCAGACTGTGCGGTGAGTGTCTCTCGCTGATTGCTCGGCGACATCCTGAGAGCTGCACATAGCGACGCGCGCGTGGAACGCGCGTACGTACGGACGCGTCCGGAAGCATAATGAGACGCTTCCTGCGTAGGATATTCGCTGATTTACAATCCTTGGCACACTTTGATCTTCGAGGCCCTGGAGTCGGTCACGGCGTCCCTCAGCTTCACCGCAGCCGTCACTTACGCGGCGAAATTATCAACCACGTCCACCGACAGCTCGATACAGGGACTGCTCGGTGGTGTTTATTACGGAGTCGGTACGTTCCTGAGTAAAGCCGCCGGAAGCTCTCGGCGCCTGACTTCGAGTCGTAATGACTTGACTCGGAGGCGGAATTTGCTGCCCGAGAAAAGCAATCGCTCGGCTTACTTCGCTTCCTCGAAGCGATGATTATTTCCGACCGAGAGAGTGCTTTCTTCACGGTAGTTTTGAGTCCTTTTAGAAAGGCTCATATTGCATTTATTCTTTCCTCGAGGATATAAGATCTCTACCCGATGTGTGTGTAGCAAAAATAGCAAAACAAATTTCTGCTTATTATTAAAATTGTTAATACTCTTGTTTTTGTTTAACATTGAATGTAGCGCGTATTTTTCTGTGTATACAGGCAAGGGCTCCGGAAGTTTGATCGGTGGTTACTTGATGAAGGCTTTCGGCACAAGGCCGACCTACCAGATTTTCGCGGTAGTAACTTTGCTGACCGGCGTGATGTATTTGGCATTCAACTTGACTTACCTGAAGAGACGACCCCAGCTCGAGGGCAATGATATCGTGAAGAAGAAGCCGAAAAGCACTGACGTCTCGCAGAATAGCCTCGAGAAGAAGTCGAACGACATCAGTCTCGAGGAGAAGCCGCAGCTGAAAGCAGCCGAAGAGAAGGGAAAGGACAACTCGACGGAAAACGACGGCGGGGTCGACAACAGAGGGTTCTTGAAGGAGCCGCGAAATGAGAAGTCGTCGACGGGAAGCAACGAGCGGGACTCGGCCCAAATCGAAGCTATCATGAACGCCAAGAACATCGACAAAACTGAACGACCTCCGAGCAGGCAACACGAAGACGACTCGACGAGGAAGAGCGACGCTACTCGCGCGAGAAAGGAGGACAGCAGTGCGCGTGAGAATTCCTTCGTTAATCCGAACTTTGAGACCGATAATTCGGATCAGTGCGAGATCACGGTGGAGCCAGCGAGGATAGACGACAAGCGTGTCGATCGGCCGAATTCCTAGCTTAACCGAAGCCATAGCCAATCGTAAGCGAGCGTATGTATTACAATAAAGGAAAAAAAATCGTGACCACACAAATTGCATTATCTCAGGGTGTATTTCAAGATCTCGTCCTGCTCCTTTGCTCTTGGTTAACTCTTTAAGGACCGATGACAAAGATCTCTGTCATTTAGGAATTTGCCCAAAGGACCGGAAAAAGGCGAATCTTTGCCATGAAACATTTTGCTATGCTGAAGTCCAGGCGTGTTTTAAATAATGACAAAGACTGTTACTAGATGTTTTCAAGCTCGGTGAACATGATGACGCGGCCAGTTTTTTCCATTTTCCGCATCATAAACGAAATATAGCCACTCGGGAAACGGTCTTTTTCCGATTTTCCACGAATCTTTGTCATGAAACATATGACCATCTTGAGGCTGAAAAAATCTGAAAAAAATTAGTTCTGGTGAGACCTTGTGTTTTTTGGATTGCTGAATGATACGAATTTGGTGTCAGTATTTCGAAACAGAATGGCTAAATCAATATGGCGAAGTCAATACTGTGGCAACACGGGATTTTTCGAAAGAATATATATATGATCTTGCTATTACTTTTATAGAGATTTTCAGGGATGCTAAATATGAATGTTCCGTTATAATTCAAAAATTGGCATTGGTGAATATGACGGATTATATATATGCAAAAAATTCCTACCCTTTACATTCGCGAATACATTTGTTGAAAATGTACTCCCCAGGATGTACATCCCCCAGAAATATTTTGTGGACTCGAGGAGGTTGACAATTGGATTTAACATCCCACTTTTTCGTTTTTCTGTGTTTTACTTTTTTATACTTTTTTTAATTTTTTGTTTTTTTTATTTCTTCATCATTTTCATTTTCTTTCCATTTTTCCTAATTTTTTCGTTATTTTTCATTCTTCAATGTACTTTATCATTCTCCTTTCTCATTCCTGTGTCTTTTTTCTCTCCTGTTCAATTATCGAATTTTTCCACTATTTTTCTACAGTTCATGGTACTTATCGAAACATGTATCTTTATATAATGCGACCTTGCAATTTTTACATATGTTTCGAACTTGTTTTCGGATACCATTTGTGAATAATTTGCAGTCGGCACTTAGAAAACCTGAACGTGGAGTTTGAGTGAATTTATTCTTCTCGAAAATACGGGAATTGTCGTGATCGATCCGCCATATTGGATCTGCTATCTTGAATTTCGGGAATTTAACATGAAATTCGTATTCAGCATCACTAAAACCCCTCATGTACGTCAAATTTCAGCGAAATATGACGGATTTTAATTTTTGAGACTTCAGGCCCTTTTCATGGATTTGGCTCGGTCCTTAAAGGGTTAACGAGACGTAGAGATTTGCGCTGACAATTCCTATGGATTGCGTCGAGAGTTGTAACACCCACAAAATGATCAACAATGAACAATCAGTCGTGCATTTCTAAAGTGTTCGGGGAATTTCTCTCGCTTTGACACAATAGATAGATAATCGACAAGTCAACATTACACACACAAGTGAATCAAACTAACTTTGCATAGCGTTAACATAAATTAATTACGACACGCAAGTTTCCTACTCAAACTCACCTTTCCACGCGATTTCGTTGTGCTGGTCTTTCGCCTGGCTGCGGTCGATTGTCTCGACGAGAAGGAAGTAGCCGGGCGCAGTTCGAAGACGCGCGTCAATTTACGGATACATCTTTTCGTTTCTGTGTAATCTGCAGTTTTCCTCGTTTCTAACTGCATCAGCGATTGCTGCGGTGAGGAAACAGGAGTCTCGACAATAATTCCCGTGGCGTACAGAGCACCGCAATTGGCGTTTACTCTACGACATTCCGAGATCGGCTGAGATCGGGATTTACTAGAAGCTTGAATTAATTCTGGTCTTATTTTATCAATTTTTTTATCTTTATTTTAACATTAGAAGGACCGGATTTGACGACTCCTCTAGAAGGACCGTAAGAGCCAATTTGGCATCAATTATACGAAAGGTAGTATTAACCATCAACTTGTTATTAAAGCCATCTGTTGCTAGGAACCAGAATTAATTTAACCTTCTAATACGTTGAGATAATAAAAGAGAAGACATGCTGCACGTCGCACACGCACACACACACGCACGCACGCGTACAAAGTACATGTAACGTCTTCCTCCTTGGACGTCAAGTTCCCGGTGAAGAGCACACCAATATAGGCCTATCCTGTAACTCTGAAGGTCGTGAGACGAAACAAGATGGAATCTACACACACGCGATCGCACTCTCTTCCTTTTCCTCGAAGCCGGCAACGGCGAGTCCTGCAACGTGCGATTACAGTCGAGCTCTGCGCGCTCCACTAACGGATCGTTACAGTTTGTAAAGTGAATTAGAGCGCTTTTTGTCAGGCGTCACTTCTTCTCGTTAGCATGACTGCACGCCGGCCGGGTATATTTTGTCGCCAGGACCGTCGACATCGCGACGCTTCGACGCCGGCGAGAGCGGCGATCCCCCGGCGATCTCGTGTTCACTCGGCTGCGAACAGGTAGCGAGAGGCGATTTCGTCCACGCGACACCCGATACCCGGGCGAAAGGGTGTTGGAGTGTCGCGCTAAGGCGATGCACAGTGTTGTGATACGGGAAATTGATGTTCAAGAAGGTCTACAGCATTAAATCTTCAACAGATTAGGACGATTTTTTTTTCAAATGAAGGTGAGAAGATTACCTACAATTCTACCGAGCGATATTTTCGATATTAGGAATCCTAACCAAATCCTTAATAGACAAAGTATGAAATATTGATACATTTCCAGAGGATGATGATTTTTTCTACTTCTGTCAACGTGCAAACCATTATAATTGCTAAACTATGAATCTATGGATTGTAAATCTTTTATTATTTAACTCGTAAACTCCAAATCTCATAACCCTGAACCTCATAATCTTGAGCCCCATAACCCCGAACCTCATAATCCCAAATCCCATAACCCCGAACTTCATAACGCCCAACCCTATAATATACATAATCCCGAACCCTATAACCTGGTATTCTATAACCCCCAACCCCATAACCCCAAACCTCATTATGACAAACATGATAACCCTAAATCTCATAACCTCATGTCTCAAAACTTCTGACCCTATTATTCCGAACCTTATGACACCAAACCATATAAGTTCAGACTTCATTGTTTTCGGGCTTTCATGTTTATGGATTCAAGGTTTACGGTGCTGGGTTCGTGATTGATAAAATTTTGGGTATATGAGTTTTGGATTTTTGAGTGAAGAAATTGTCATTCTGTTTAGAACGTAATTGTAGGTTTACGCGATCAGATCATCTGAAGATGCATTATTTTACATAATAGACTTTTTCACAAATACTTCTGTTTATGTTACGTTTACCGTCTGCATTTAATGCATAAACTATTGATTTCTTCGGATTTATATATCGCAAGTATAAGAAGACATTGGTAGAAAACCAAAATGACCATAGATCCTGACTGTGAGATATTACTTCTTATATACGTACAATGAATGCGTCATGATGGTAAAACGCCAGTAACTTGACAGTTGCATTTATTGTGTTTCGGGGTTCGAGTATCATGGGGTTTGAGGTTATGTTCGGTGTTATGGGGTTCGAGGTTATGAAGTTCGGGATTAAGGAGGTTTGAGGTTATGAGGTTCGGGATTTTAGGGCTCGAAGTTATGGGGTTCGGGGTTATAAGATTTGGAGTTTACGAGTTGAGTAGTAAAAGATTTACAATCCATGGATTCATAGTTTGGTAATTATAATGGTTTGCGCGTTGATAGGAGTAGAAAAAATCATCTGAAAATGTATCAATATTTCATACTTAGTCTATTAAGGATTTGGTTAGGATTCCTGATATCGAAAACTTCGTTCGGTAGAATTGTAGGTAATCTTCTCACCTTCATTAAAAAAAAAAAATCGTCCCAATCGGTTGAAAATTGAATGCTGTAGACCTTTTTGGACCTCAATTTCCTGCATCACAACACTGTGCGATGGATCGGCAAAGCGTCAAAGCGCGGACAATACCTTCCCGGCGGGCGCGAGCGGTACTTACAGTTACAAGTCTATATAGCGGACACCGGCTGCAGGATCACGGCCACTCATGTTCGACTATCAGCGAGTATGTTGCGCATTTTAATTTTGCTTCTCTTTCCACGCCTGTTTGCCGCCACGGTGCCGTCGGGAGTAACGTCGTACGCGAAGGTGTCGAGGAACGGCCAGCTAGCGAGAAGCTCTCACGACTCCTTCCCGTGGATCAGCAGGTGCGTACATGTCGTCAGGGAACAATTCAGCGGCTAGGGTGCGCCAAGTGTGTTCCGCTTGGTGCCGCCGAGACGAGTCCGCATCTTCGTTTGACCTTCGAGCCCTCCGAGGCATTTCTTTGCATGAACGTGAGACGTTTGCTTATGCATTTCAGGCTTATGCCTCAAGCGAGAAACGATACGAGCATGAACAACGAGAGCAGGAGTATAAGTGACATTGCCATCACAGTGTCGCCCGTGTACGTGACACCCAAGAACCCGAAGTTGAAGAAGGGCGAGATAATCGAGCACCCGGTCGCTCCGAGGTAGACGCAAACGTTCGCCGTGTGCAAATTCCTGTCGATACGAATTGCGAATCTTCTCTGTTGATAATCCATTGTACTCACGCAGATACTCCACGTTGGATCATGAGATGATAGCCAAGCTGAACGTGGGCAAGAAGCAGATCCAACAACGATACAATCCACCCGCGGCCGGCTTGTTCGGCCACGATGACGCGCCCATGAACGGTAGGCCGCAGAAAGGAACGAGCACGTCGAATTCGGGAGGCTTCTCGGGAGTAAATTCGTCCTCGTTTCCCGGCCCGATCTCCTTGGCCATGTACGAATACGGTCCGCCAGAATTTATCGAAGACAAGCCGACGTCCAAGCCGATGATCAGCGTTCAGAAGTATCCATCTATGCAAACGGACGATAAGGTAGCAATTTGTAAATTCGGAGTGAAATTACTCCTAGATGGTCGATTGAGTCCTGTATAATCTCACTTGTCAATTTGATACATATCTAAATCGATTAAGTTCCAGTAAAATTCAAAACTAATTTTATTTCAAAACTAATTGTAATCAATCTTATCTTAGAATTAATTTTACCTTGAATTACCTTTATTTCAAAATTAACTTGGTTCCACGAGTAAGGTGCACTCAAATTTTGCGTCTATAAGAAATATAATTTTTTTTTATAAAAGTACATAATTTTGATTTCAAAATTAATTTTAATAATTCTTATTTCGGAATTAATTTTGATAACCTTTACTTCAAAACTAATTTTGTTTCGCGAGCAAGGCGCATTTAAATTTTACATCTATGAAAATATATAATTTTCTTTATGAAAGTATATAATTTCCATTTCAAAATTAATTTTAATAAATCTTATCTTAGAATTAATTTTAATGACTTTTACTTCAAAATTAATTTTGTTTTGAGTAAAGTGCATTTCGATTTTATATCTATAAAAATATACAATTTTTTTTACAGAATTTTTATTTCAAAATTAATTTTAATGATTCTTATTTCGGAATTAATTTTGATAATCTTTAATCTTCAAAGCTAATTTTGTTTCATGAATAAAGTGCATTTCAATTTTGCACGTATAAAAATATATATAATATATATAAATATATAAATATAAAAATATATATATATATAATTCTTTTCATAAAAATATATAATTTTAATGACCTTTACTTCAAAATTTTTATTTCAAACTTAATTTTAATAATTCTTATTTCGAAATTAATTTTGATAATCTTTAATCTTCAAAATTAATTTTGTTTCACGAGCGAGATGCATTTAAATTTTGCATATATGAAAATATATATATTTTTTTAAAAGTACATAATTTCTATTTCAAAATTAATTTTAATAATTCTTATTTCAGAATTTGATAACCTTTACTTTTGATAACCTTTATTTTTTTTTGATAACCTTTACTTTAAAACTAATTTTGTTTCACGAGTAAGGTGCATTTCAATTCTGCATCTATAAGAATATACAATTTTTATTTCAAAATTAATTTTAATAATTCTTATTACAGAATTAATTTTGATAACCTTTACTTCAAACTTAATTTTGTTCCACAACTAAAGTGCATTTAAATTTTGCATTTATAAAAGTATACAATTTTTTTTTATAAAAGTAATTTTCATTTCAAAATTAATTTTAATAATTTTGATTTCGGAATTACTTTTGATAACTAAAAGATAGCTGAAAGATAACTAAGAGATTTACTTAAAAACTAATTTCGTTTCACGAATAAAGTGCGAATTTCAATTTTACATCTACAAAAGTATACACTTATAATAAAAGCAAAATACATTCTCACAATGCATCTACATCTGTCGCAGATGCCGAACGGTTATAAATCACCGTCGAGCAATTACCACGTCAATGATGCACCCGAAATGGAGTATCCCAACTTCGACGACGCTTCTTCGTACGAGAACGACGGGCCCGCGAAGAAACCCATGAAGTTCCCCAACCATCAAGAACGTCCGTTTCCATTCGCGGAGAACTCGTACGGGCATGACCATCACGATTTTCACCACGAGGTGATCTACGATCACTTGCCCGAGTACCATCACATTGAGCACACGACGCAGGAGCCGGAAATGAACGATCAGCGGCTCGACAAGCGGCCTTACTCATATTACTTCATAGGGAAGAAGCTCTGGTACATACCGCTGTACTTTAGCATTTATTTCATTATATACATAGCGGCGCTCGTGCTGAAGAGCATCGCTAGGCACAAGATCAACTTCCCGACGCATCTGGCGGAGGCTGCGGGCCACTCCAAGAGAAGCGAGCCCGACGAGTGGTGGGATTTCGCCGGGAGGATACTCGACGGGGTGGAACGACTCGCCGAGGTGTCCGGTGCTTGGGACTCTTGATCTTGGAATATGCGATTAAGCGTCAATTAAAATTAATTTATAATGTCAAAATGCGCGCGACCGTTTTAGCGTAAGCAATTAGCAATTAAACTGAAATCGACGATAATGATGTAAAAGGTACAACCGTACACACGCGTCGCTTAGACTTAAGTGGAATGTATATATTAAGTAAGTGAGTAAAGAGAGAGAGAGAGAGAGAGAGAGGGTGAGAGACGACACGGTCGTTTCCATTGTTTCCCGCTCTTTGTTCTCAATGGATTGCACATGGTAGATAAATTGAGCATCAGCGCGCGATTTGATCGCCCGCTTGTAAAAATAAATGCAGTACTTACGATCTTGTCGATTAATTCCCCCGTCGTCGCGACTCCTCGCCGCTTCCTCGGCAGCGCTCGAATTCTCGTGAATTGCGCTCGAGCGCGTCTAATGCGCGCGCTTTCAGCGCGTAGTTGAAATAATTTGCGTGAACGGCGCATGCGCGCGCGGCTCAAACGAGCGATCGTTAACTGCGCGGATGCCGGTGCACAATTATCGCCGATTTAGAATATCACCCGAACGGTACCGCCGGCTCCGTGCTTCGGAGTGACCAGGGTGTTAATCACTCGGTGATCTGACCGGTCGCGATAAAAACGACGACTTAGTCGACTTAGCGGCGGCCGCCATTGAGACGTCCGTCAGAATCGAAATCGATAGTCGACCGCCACTTAGCGGCTCGTAGTAACGTGCCGCGCTAATTGCGTAATGATCATCTTAGGGACATCAGCGCTGCGCGGGTCACGCGGAAGCGTGAGTGCCGCTCATCAATGAAGCTCGCCGCGGAGAAGACGGTAGTCGTTGGCGAGCGACGGCGGGGACGCGCGAAATCTGTAACAATTAGGGCGGTTAACGCCGTCGGATTTGCTTAACGTTACCGTCAATACAGTTACCGCGCACCGGACGCGGTACGGCTTGTCGAACCTAGGCCTGAAGAAGACCTTCAGTACCACGTCGGACGCCGGCGACCGGAGGTTTCCCGCCCCAAACTTTTCCTCGGCCGCGTCACTTGCCAAGTGTCAAAGCCTGCGGCTGAGTCGATAATCCAAAGGCCGGGGGAGTCTCTGCCTTTCCTCGTCAGCGGGATCTCAGGGCTGAGTGGAATGCGACGGCCGAGGTGGGATGGTGTCCATCTCGCGTGAAGAGGCAGAGCGCCTGAGGAAGATCACGGAAGCGCCGCGACGATAATTCCTCGTGATAACTTGGCGATCGCTCGAGGTTAAGATGGGTCAGTAGTTTCTCAGCTGCAGCGAGGAGAGCGTATCGCTCTGATCCATCCGGTAATCGCAGTCGAATCTCGTGCCGAAGTGCATACGATAGAACGATCCGCAGAAGATGAATCGAAGGCAATCTTGAGCGTGAGACTCGACCGCGAGTATCCTCCTAAGCGAATAACGCTCCCATAACATTCTCTTTCTCAGAGACGACTGGCAGCCGGTTAGCTTGCAAGTTTGTCCTGCTGTCAATTTGCATCTACCACGCCTCCGCCGAGTCGAGCGTCGAGAACGCGGAGTCGATCTCGGGGACGGAAGCATCCGGGGTAAACGTCGAGTTGACCACGAACGCGCAGACTTTCAGGTGAGTCATTCCGCCATTCTTACCGTCGCACAGTGTTGTGATACAGGAAATTGATGTTCAAAAAGGTCTACAGCATTAAATTTTCAACTGATTGGGACGATTTTTTTTTTTTAATGAAGGTGAGAAAATTACCTACAATTCTACCGAGCAATATTTTCGATGTCAGGAATCCTAATCAAATCCTTAATAGACAAAATATGAAATATTGATATATTTTCAGAAAATGATTTTTTCTACTTCTGTCAACGCGCAAACCATTATAATTGCTAAACTATGAATCTATGGATTGTAAATCTTTTACTACTTAACTCGTAAACTCCAAACCTCATAACCCTGAACCCCATAATCTTAAGCCCCATAACCCCAAACCTCATAATCCCAAACTCCATAACCCCGAATTTCATAACGCCCAACCCTATAATATACATAATCCCGAACCCTATAAACTGGTACTCTATAACCCCCAACCCCATAACCCCAAACCTCATTATGACAAACACGATAACTCTAAACCCCATAACCTTAATTCAAAACCCCAAACCTCATATCTCTAAACTTCTGACCCTACTATCCCGAACCTTATGACACCAAACCATATAAGTTCAGACTTCATTATTTTCGGGTTTTCATGTTTATGGATTCAATGTTTGCGGTGCAGGGTTCGTGATTGATAAGATTTTGGGTGTATAAGTTTTGGATTTTTGAGTGAAGAAATTTTGTTTAGAACGTAATTGTAGGTTTACGAGATCAGATCATCTGAAGATGCATTATTTTACATAATACACTTTTTCACAAATACTTCTGTTTATGTTACGTTTACCGTCTGCATTTAATGCATAAGCTATTGATTTCTTCGGATTTATATATCGCAAGTATAAGAAGACATTGGAAGAAAACCAAAATGACCATAGATCCTGACTGTGAGATATTACTTATTATATATGTACAATGAATGCGTTATGATGGTAAAACGTCAGTAACTTGACAGTTGCATTTATTGGGTTTCGGAGTTCGAGTATCATGGGGTTTGAAGTTATGTTCGGTGTTATGGGGTATTGGGGGTTATGAAGTTCGGGATTATGGGGTTTGATGTTATGAGGTTCGGGGTTATAGGGCTCGAAGTTATGGGGTTCAGGGTTATGAGGTTTGGAGTTTACGAGTTAAGTAGTAAAAGATTTACAATCCATAGATTCATAGTTTAGCAATTATATGCGCGTTGACAGAAGTAGAAAAAATCATTTTCTGAAAATATATCAATATTTCATACTTTGTCTATTAAGGATTTGATTAGGATTCCTGACATGGAAAATATTGCTCGGTAGAATTGTAGGTAATTTTCTCACCTTCATTAAAAAAAAAAATCGTCCCAATCGGTTGAAAATTGAATGCTGTAGACCTTTTTGAACACCAATTTCCTGTATCACAACACTGTGCGTCGTCTTTTTCACCGCCCTCTTCGTGTACGTAACACTAAAAATCCGATCGCGCTTCAAAACAACTGAGTCGGCATCTGTCGACCGTGCAAAAAATGTAAATTATGAAAGCGTAAATCACGCTCCTAACATCTTTTTATTAAAACATCTTATTATTTTGTTTTCATTTATTATTTATTCATTATTATACTTTAGTTGACATGCCAAGAAGTTACTTGGTTTACCATTTTTCTTGCCCGCACTCAAAATTCCACTCATCCATCCATAACTTAAGCGATTTTTGCTTATCTCCCTATAATCATAATTTATATATATAGTTAATTTATATTCGCAATCTTTCTACTTGCACTATTATCTATCACCTATCGATGAATCAACCAAATGAATTAAAATTTCTTACATAAAACCTATTTGCATTTACTATTATTTGAATTACTTTTCTTCTTCCTTATTTTATATTTAAATATTTCATACCTTATCTACATATTTCATACCTTAAGGTAAGTTAAATATCCCTCGTTATATTTTAAGTTAAGTTAAATATCCCTATCATCGCTGATATTTCACAGTCCTATCTAATCAGTCTTTTGAAACAGACCACTTACCTTGCACGTTTGGGCCTCCTGTCCTCTCAAATTACTCTACCTCTCATATTACCCTCTAATTTATACTATTTTATACTTTTTTAATAATAATAACTTCACTAATAATAATAATCTCACTTATCAATTTGATACATCTAACTTGATCAAGTCCCAATAAAATTCAGAATTAATTTTTTTTCCTTTCCACAATCTCCCCAAAAGAGAGACATCTTCATTCATCATATTTTAGGTATCTTACATGTCTTTAACCTTTTAAGGACCAATGACAAAGATCTTTGTCATTTAGGAATTTGCCCAAAGGATCGGGAAAATGCGAATCTTTACCATGAAACATTTTACTATGCTGAAGTCCAGGCGTGTTCTAAATAATGACAAAGAGTGTTACTAGATGTTTTCAAACTCGGTGAATACGATGACGCAGCCAGTTTTTCCATTTTCTGCATCATAAACGAAATATAGCCACTCGAAAAACGGTCTTTTTCTGATTTTCCGGGAATCTTTGTCATGAAACATATGACCGTCTTCAGGCTGCAAAAATCTGAAAAAAAATGAGTTCTGGCGAGACCTTATGTTTTTTGGGTTGCTGAATGATACGAGTCATTTAGTGTTAGTTTTCCGAAATTCAGAATGGCTAAATCAATATGGCGGAATCAATACTGTGGCAACACGGGATTTTTCGAAAGAATATATGTATGATCTTGCTATTATTTTTATAGAGATTTTCAGGGATGCTAAGTATGAATGTTCCATTATAATTCAAAAATTGACATTGGTGAATATGACGGATTATATATATGCAAAAAATTCTTACCCTTGACATTCGCGAATACATTTGTGGAAAATGTACTCCCTAGGATGCATCCCCCACAAGTATTTTGTGGATTCGAGGAGGTTGACAATTGGATTTAACATCCCACTTTTTCGTTTTTCTGTGTTTTATTTCTTTGTGCTTTTTTAAATTTTTTGTTTTTCTTTATTTTTGCATCATTTTCATTTTCTTTCCATTTTTCCTAATTTTTTCGTTATTTTTCATTCTTCAATGTCCTTTATCATTCTCCTTTCTCATTCCTGCGTCTTTTTTCTCTCCTGTTTAATTATCGAATTTTTCCATTATTTTTCTACAGTTCATGGTACTTATCGAAACATGTATCTTTATATAATGCGACCTTGCAATTTTTACATATGTTTCGAACTTGTTTTCGGATACCATTTGTGAATAATTTGCAGTCGGCACTTAGAAAACCTGAACGTGGAGTTTGAGTGAATTTATTCTTCTCGAAAATACGGGAATTGTCGTGATCGATCCGCCATATTGGCTCTGCTATCTTGAATTTCGGGAATTTAACATGAAATTCGTATTCAGCATCACTAAAACCCCTCATATACAGATTTTCAGCGAAATACGAGGGATTTTAATTTTTGGGACTTCAGGCCCTTTCCATGGATTTTTGACTCGGTTCTTAAAGAGTTAAGACGTCTCTTAGAAGTTCGTGCTATCTTGGATACTACATAGCTGAAGAGAGCTTGCTTCAGGACAGCTAATATAAAACTTTTCTCCCACTCGCTCGCTCTTGGCCTCGATAATGTCAAACAATCTAAACGTAGAACTTCATCTTCCTCGAGTCGCCAATTCACCAAGAAGCGTGAGATACAAATCAGACTGACGCGACGGGTTCGACTCAATGAATGTAAATTAATCGGCACTCACCTTAATCCCCGCTTGATCCGCAGACGAGGCAGAGCGTACAGACGCGGTTACAACGCCAGAGGGGACAACAAGGATTACCAAGACGATCAGCAGGACCATTACGATGATGATATGGACGATCACGCGGACGACGAGACCGATCACGGTCATACGAAGGCGATGACTCAGCCTAAGGTCGATTACTGGGCTGGCTACTACGACTTTCTCATCAATGAAGGCAGCTACAAGTTCTGGGCCGTTTTCCAGGTAATCCACAAGCGCGTTCGCGCAGCTTCGACTTCGAAGCTGAACGGAATTCCCGCGTTATCGCCTCGCCAATCGACCCGAGCTCACTGATCGTTCTTGCCCGGCCCTTAGCTCGCCACCGCAGCCTTGCTGATCTACAGCGGCTTCGCGGCTCTCTACTACGCGAAAGTGAACCCTCCGACCACGGACGACGACTTCGACGACATATTTCGCCGGCGACGACGACGACGAAGGAGACGCCGCTCGCTACCGCTCGCGCCACGCGACAGGCCCTTTGTCGGGCTGGACGCCGTGACGTTCCAGAGGATAGTCGAAGCCGCGGACGCCGAACGAGCGAAGCGTTGACTTGCTCCTGGTCGTTTCTTTGGCAGAAGCGCGAAAGGACTCGCTGCGAGAGGACGGTCGGACGTTCGAGCGCATTTCGGCGAGAGACGATCACTGGGAAACGCAAACGATGTACCTTCGAGTGCTCGCTTCTTAGTGAAACGATGAGTAATGCCGTACCTGGGGAGAAAAAAGACCGACGTCTAAATTTCCGAGTTGGCGATACAAGAGCGTTCCTCTCGAAGGTACAGTATCGTCCACGCGAGCTCTTGAAAAAAGAGACGTTTTTGACTGGTTTCAACCCGTAAGTGATGCGGCAGAGTGCACGTCATGTTGCGATCAACTCGAAGAAATGTTTCTAACCCTTAGCCGTGCAGGGCGATGAAAACGCTTGCGTGCTCAAAGGGAGCTTCTCGACAATGGAGTTGGAGTTAAATTACAGGGTTGGGAAGTAACTCGTGTGTTACTTGTAACGGAGTTACAGTTATAGTTTTTTTTTTTTTTGGTAACTACAACTTAACTTCGTTCCGTTTTTTCCGTCTACAACTGTAACTCAACTTAGTCACATTTGTTTGATAACCAGCGACTAATTTAACAGTTACTTTAATAGTTACTTTATATATTTCAAACTTGAGTTTCTAGCAGACTAGTACGATAACGCGACGTGCGATACTTGATAACCGATAAGCATACAATTTTTCTGGCTGCATTTGGAAAACGCGCTATTGCGTCATCTGTCTTTATCGTTCATTAGATGTAAAACAAGAATAAAATAGCGCTGATAGTCTTCTCTCCGAACGCAACCTGTATTTCTTTCAAAAAAATTGTACGCCTATTAGACATTTCCGTTGCACGTCGCTAGTTTTTATTTCTTAACATAACCTGCATTCAGCATGAAGTGCGCTGCGTGGTTTCAGTTATATAAAAAATTCAAGATAAAACATCTCAATCTTCGGAGAAGGGTTGTAAAATGGCCAGCATATGCAGAAATATTCGAGTTGTAGCAAAAACTTGGAAACGAGAACACCTGGACATTTCTCTGCCCAGTTGTTATTAATAGTCTTAACAAATAAATATGAATTACTTATTTAAATTAATGAATCTAATTTGTAAAAAAATTATATACAACATGAGGAATATATAATAATCAACAAACTACTTTTATATAAAATTGAAGGAATTTACGTAATTACGAAATTTAAAATAATAGCGCTATTATTGTAAAAAAGTAACTGAAAAGTAACAACTCGTTACTTTCTAAATAACTATAACTGTAACATGTTATTTTTGAAGGTTAGTAACTTGTAATTGTAACTAGTTAATTTTTCAGTGAAAAAACTGTAACTGTAACTAGACTTTTACAAAGTAACTTTCTCAACCCTGTTAAATTATATAAGCAAGATACTTTCTCGGGGTTTGTTGGGTCGTTAAATCTAAATCCGAGGACAAAATTTCAAAATTCAAAATGGCGGATACAACATGCCGGACGAAATATCCAAAAACTTGTTGGATTCTCATAAAAAATTTGTATAGAGGATTTCTCGAAGCCGCTATTTTCAAATTCAAAATACAAATTTTTGATTAAAAAAAATGGCGAGTCTAATATGGCGGCGAGGAATTTAAAATAATCATCAATTTAAAAATATATAAAAATATAAAACATAAGAATTGGCTTTCAGGCGTTTTTTAGCCGGTGATTTCAAATTCGCATTCAAAAAGAAAAATTTCAAATAAAAATGATGGATCCAATAATGGCTTCGTTGTATTTTTTTTGTAACGCGCGGATATTTTCCTCATCGACAGCTTGAACCAATTTTCCTTTGGCGGATATTTCCGTCGTCAATAGTTTGGGCCACTTTTTCTTTCGCGGTATTTCCGTCATTAACAACTAATTAAACGAAATAATTAGTACAAAATAATTATGTAATGACTTTCTACATTATTCGCGTTTATGTTAAAAGTTGTTTGAGTAACTTTTACAGTCAAACGTTTGGGTCTTTTTTATTTAGTCAAACTTCAATTTTTCGAATTGAAAATACAAAATTTTTTTAAACACGGTAACCGGCGGTGCTTCCGCTTAAACTGCATCAATGAAGGGTTAACTAGGAAACTGGAGAGAGAATATGGCGTATATAGTTGTTCAAGTATATTTCGAACATTACTAGACACGAATGCGCATATATATACATAGTTTTACGTGTAAATGTTACGTGTAGTTTTACGTGTACATAGTTTCGTAGTTACATGTGCGTACGTGCGGGTGCGCGCGGCGTGTGTGTCCATGTTTAATTAGTAACTCCGAGATGCGCGACTCGTTTACACTTCCTGCTCGGGACGTCCGCGGAGTAAGACGCGTGTAATTAAAAGAGAGCCGAAAGGGTTAATCGGACGGAAAGTAATGAGAGCGAAGGGACAAATGGGCCGCGGTCGGTGGGCATTTGTCGCTTTGAAAGCTGCTCGACTCGAGCGGACGACTTTCGACGACGACGACGACGACGACGACGACGACGACGAGTGTGTCACGCGTCCGGCCGGCTCGGCCCCGAAGGGCCGGCTGTGCGCGCGCCGGTGATCGGTAAATGTATGCGTGCGACGGGATCAAAACGTAATAAAAATCCCCCGAAAAAATGTCGACCGATAAATCAAGCGTGGCACAGCGAACCGCGCAGCGTGGACCGTCGCGCGATGCGATGCGATGCGATGCGATGCGATGCGATGCCATGTGATGCACCTCTCTCTACAAAGCGTTCGCGCGCGCGCATGTGCATCACTTGCGCGCGCGCACACACACACACACACACATACATATATATATATATATAAAATACGTAGCTACGCACACATACACGCGTGCATTCGCAACATCGAAGCTCAGAGGCAAATTTCCTTGTCGAACGACGCAACGTAACGAGAGGGCCTCGAGCGACTTTTCGGGGAGCGTCAGGGGCGTATCTGCATGTCGTATCGCTCGATCTGTCGAATGTCGCGCTCGACGGGTTGCGGGCGCGAGCCTGAGCGTCGGCAGGAGCTGATGGCCGAAGAGACGGAGCGGGTCTCGCGACTGTTGTCCCGGCAGCCGGTGTCTCCGGCGACCGAGGCGGCGACGGCCGCAGGAGAGGACACTCGCGCGGACGGAAACGCGCCCGGCCGGGCGGAGTAGACGATCATACGGCCCTGCGAGGATCACCACCTCCTCGCAGCATCTCGCCGATGCATTCCGCCACGTAGTCGGCTGCGAGGGATACCTTAAGAGCGAGCACGACGCGATGTTACGCACGACGGCACCGTCGTGCACCGGGTGCTGCCCGCTCCCATCCACCCGAGAGCTACCATTTCGGACGGGGTGAGCCCCCACCCTCCCCTTTTTTTTTCTGCCGCTCGCGGTCGGAAATTTTACAGATAAATCTCCGACGACGGAGAGAAACCGGGCGAGGGATTACGCCCCGCTCTCCGAAATCCAGACCGCGGGCGATAAAAAGTGTTATTTACAGCTCTCGGTACCCGGCGTGCATGCATGCGTCGATCGATAATTCCCCCTCCTTCCTCTCCCCTCCCCCGCCGCTCTCGCCGAGCCTTCGGTCGCCCGCTACACGTCGCTCCCGCGAGCGAGTGGAATAATAATACGCGATAATGATAGTGCCGCTAACCCGCGCGGCAGCGTCACGACGAACGCTCGCTCTCAGCGCCGGGGACTCATGGAATTCCAATTTCGAGAGAGAGAGAGAGAGAGAGAGAGAGCGCTCCCCGCGCCGGGGTTAAAATCTGCCAACGTCGGCGCGTGACGTTTCACGAGGGAGCGTCCCGGGCAGCCGTGACACCAAGGCATTGTCGTCATTTCCCGCTCGACAGTGAAACTGTCTAACGTGAAGCACCTTGCGATGCGTTCACAATAGGGCTGTTCGTTTTGTCTGCACTGCTGAACTGGTGCATTAAGTTAAAGTGAGACAAAGATACGTTTTCTCACTCCAACTTGTTGCACCAGTTCAGCAGTGCAGACAAAACGAACAGGCTTATTGTTTCGAGTGGGAAACGCACGACGAGAGTGAACTCGGATTTCCCGGACATTTCCGGGAAATTTCTGTCTCGGCGGATCCGAAGTTATTCGTTACGCGACCCGATGAAACAGGTCGCAGGTGGCAATCGTCAGATCCTGCGTATTTTCGTTGAGCTCGAATAGAACGTCAGCCATTGATCTTTTTAGAGGTAGTCATTCACGCTGAGCATATTTATGTCGTTATTTGCGAGTTTTGTGCACTTTGTAAAAAATAAATGTTAGGTGTATGCAAAAGTTTAAATTTTTTTTCGCTCTTTAACCCTTTGAGGCACGTATTTTTCAGAAAAGCCGAATCACATGAAAATTTATATACGAGGGGTTTCTGGAGTCGCTGATAACGAATCCGTTATAAGATTTTCGAAATTTAAGATGGCGGATCTAAGATGGCGGCCGCAAAAATGAAAAATCGCGATAATTTCGATGACAATGGGTATTGTGGGGTTTTTGGAGCCGCTGATTACGAATCCGTTATCAGATTTTCAAAATTCAAGATTGCGGATTCAAGATGGCGACCACAAATATAAAAAATCGCGATAATTTCGGTGACAATGAGTTTTGGACCTCGGACTCTTATAATTAGCGACCTTGAAAGCTAACCAAAGTACAATTTCAGCTAATCATATAAAAATTTTATGATCCGCCATCTTGGAAATAAATTTTAGAATTTGGACCCCAAATTCTTAATCAGCGAGCTCAAAAACTAACCAGAGTACAATTTTAGTTAATTTTATGTACATTTTATGATCCGCCATCTGGAATCCGTCATCTTGGAAAATGAATTTTTGAATGTGGACCTCAGATTCGTAATCAGCGACCTCAAAAACTACTACTAACTAAAGTTTTACAATTTTAGCTAATTTAATAAAAATTCTACGATCCGTCATCTTAAATCCGCCATCTTGGAAAATTAATTTTGGAATTTGGACCTCAGATTCATAATCAGCGACCCAAAAAAACCCCAAATCTCGATTTTGAGCAAAAAATTCACTCATAGTTCGTGGAAAATCTGTAAACATGTGTATTTTCACACTTTGATTATTTATAATAAATGGACAACTTATACAAAATACTTTTCAACCTTTCATGTATGTTCCCGTATCATATAAGAAGTTAAAAAACGCAAAAAACCCGACAAGAATCCCTCAAATATGAAATATTTCATGAAAATGTGAGAATAAATAGGTGGTATACTTACCACTATGCCTCAAAGGGTTAATATAATTATTTTAAATTGAGATATCTCCTTACCGCGCTTTATATTTAAGGTTGGTGTTGAACCTTCCAACACACCATTCGTATTCATTATGATTCATTGGCGCACATAACTTTGGAAATAACAATTGATACAA